TGAATGTAAGTCTACCACGTGCATGCAGTGCCCAAGGAGGTCAGAAGATGGCATTGGATCCCTTGGAACTAGAGTTGTAGACACTTGTTAGCCACCATGTGGGTGCTGAGAACTGAACCTGGGTCCTCTGCAAGAGCAGCTCTTAACAGCTGAGCCAATTTTCCAGCCCTGAGTTTCCAATTTTTAAGTTAGTCTCATGTTCCAAAATGGTCACTGGGGCTCTAGCTATTATGTCTGTGTTTCAGACACTGAGATCAACAGGGAACAGGGGAACCTATAATCACTGAGTTAGAATTACCCATTTCCCTTCATCTCATTTTCCCAGCTCAGTCATGTGACCACTGCTCTTTGCAAGGGAGGCAAGAAGTACTCCTGAGTTTCCAGCCATCAGTTTCCATGGGAATGGGGTAGCTTTGGTAGGTGACTCCATGCCCCTCTGTAGAAACTGTCTTTTCTTTGAACACATACTTTCTTGGGTCATTTCCATATAGATAGGTGGAGACGCAGGCTAACAGAGCCAAGAGTAAGACCACAGATGTGTCTGCTTTTGAGGCAGGGGCCCTTTTTGCTCAGAGTCCCAGCAAAGCACAGTGGTTCACAGAGCTGGCTGTGAAATCGTGGTGTGCTGATGTCACTAAAGTAATAGGGCCAGGCATGGCAGCACCTGCCTGGGCCACAAGCCAGTTCAAGACTAGCCTGGGCTATCTAGCTAGACCCTGTCTAAAAACACTTTTTTTTCTTTTTTCTTTGAGACAGGGTCTCCCTGTAGCCCCAGCTGACCTGGAACTCACTACGTATACCAGCCTGGCCTTGAACTCAGAGAGATCCGCCAGCCTCTGCCTCCTGAGTGCTGGGACTAAAGGCATGCACCACCACACCCAGCACGAAGCACTAAAAAGTGGGTTGTCCTCAGTCCACTCAATTGGGAACTGTTCACATGGCGTCTGGTTGGTCCCGCTGGGCCAGCCCTAGGTCCCATCATACTGTGGGTCAGTGTCAACACCATAAATAAAGATGGAGTGAGAGGCAGGTCATTCCCCAGACCTCCTTTGTAACTTCTTTCAGTCGATGCCAGCTTTTTACTGGAAAATCTTCTGATCTAATCCTATTTACGAAAAGTGCCTTCTGGGCTCATGCCCACCCAGAAGCATCCTAAAGGCCCCTGTTCAGAGCAGGCAGTGAGGTGCTAGGGTCTGTGGGACCTCAGGGCTGTGGAGCAAGTCCAGGATGGAACACTGTGTCCCTTTATAGGGACCTGTAGGAAGGGACACACTGCTGTTGGAGCAGGGAGGGTTTTATTTTTAAACAACAAAGGAATTGAGTTCAACAAATGACCAGGCTTTATGCACACTGTTGCCATAACTAAGGTGGAACACAGACTGTGTGTGGGCAGGTCCGGGAAAGCCAGCAGAAAAATGAAAACATCGCCTTGCTCAGGGTTGCAAAGACAGCAGGGTGTATTTTTTAATGACTCATAGATGAAATGCACATAACCTGTGCCCAGCTTTCTCCTAAGTCTTTGTGCAAAAGAAATGCAGGAGGGATAAAAAGGACTGGGGTGTTCTTTGTACCCTGATTCCTGATCACCCCAAACAAGAACCATCTCAGCTATTAACAGGAGAGCACTTAAATACACTCTGGGGGATGAGGGGCTCTGTCATAAAAGTGCTTGCCTTGCAAGCATAAGGACCCATGTTAAAAAGCCAGGTATGGGTTGGCAAGATGGCTCAGCAGGTAAAGGCCCTTGCCATCAATCCTGACAACCTTGAGTTCTATCCCTGGGACCCACATAGTAGTAGAAAACTGATTCCCATAGGTTGTCCTCTGATTTCCACATGTATGCCATGACATGTATGCCATGACAGGTGTGCCCCCTGCCCCAATATTATAAGTAAATGTAATTTTTTTAAGTTAAAAATAGTGAAGCATAGTAGGGTACAGAGACAGGAGGATTCCTGCCACACTGGTCAGACAGTCTAGTCCCAGGTTCAGTGAGAGGCACTGTCTCAAAAAACCAAGGTAGAAAAGAGATGAAGGAAGCCTCTGGCCTCTCCACATAAATACATCCAAACAGCAGCTGTGGTACAATTGTTGCGTGGTAATCATGGTATACCACAGCAAGGGAGCGTGGTGGACCTCATAGTACCACCGTGCCAGGAAGAAGCCAGACGAGAAAACATTTGGTTCCAGGGGATCCAACACCCTCTTCGGGCCTCCAGAGGCATTGAATGAAATGGATGCGCTTAATATACATACAGGTGAAACACTCACACACGTAAAGTAGAAAAATAATAATAAATAAATCCTAATTAAAAAAAAAAAGTCAAACCAGGCGTGGTAGCACACTCCTTTAATCTCAGCAGAGGAGGCAGAAGCAGGCAGATCTCTGTGAGAGTGAGGCCAGCCTCGTCTACATAGTTCTAGGCCAGCCGGGAGCTGGGGCTTCAGGGATACCCTGCCTCAAAACAAAACCATTAATAATAAAATTAAATGGTCTTTTACAAACCTGATTGTTCCTGTACAACAATCCATGTCAGGTTGGATTTGTGCAGTAAATGAGACTGTAGACTGTAGACAGTGAGGGGTGCACCGGAGAGCAGGTGGGCAGGGTGTGTGGGGCCTCCAGCCTGCTGAGGGCCTAGATTTTATTCAGGACAGGCTCGCTGAGGATGGCACAGCTGGTCCAGAGTATGTAAGCCTGGCTCAGTGCACAGATGGGTGGGGCCCCAAAGGGCTGCACCTGTGGCTTCCAGTTGCTAATGTTCGGCTGATGGGAAACAACTGCTAAGCACAGAGCCCTGAGGGGCCACTCACATGCTTTGTGCCTGACCAGCCTGGAGGCCACCTTTGTCAACTTGATGTACTGTTTATGACCATGTGCCAGTGGCCCATCAGCACCTGGAAATAGGTCCAGCTCTCACCAGTTTCCTTTATGTAGATGGGGAAACTGAGGTCAAGAGCGTTCACAAGTCCTCAGGTGGTCAGTCTAGTGCCTGTTCAATGACTTCTAGAAGCTTCCAGAGGGTGATAAAATGTAATGGGCATTTCTCTGCCCCCCAGCACTGGCTGAGCACCTGCCTAGCAGAAGCAGGGCAGAAGTGATACCTGCCCACAAGGACAGGTGCAGCAGGTATTGAGGGTGACACAGGGAAGTGACACTGAACGTGATGTACAAGACCACATGGCTGATACAGAGAACAGGAGGAGGCAGGACTGAGTGCAGAGAGAAGAGAGAGTTGATTATGGCCCAGGAGTAGCTCAGCAAGGGATAGGAGTCACTCCTGAAAGCACGGGGCTGCTGAGGAAGGGAAGTCACTCAGCCTCATGAGTCCTTGGGGACATGGCACTTGTCACCATGTGACTTCCTGCTGTTAGGTAGAGTGGAGCATGTGAGGCTAATGACACTGGCCTCTCAGTTACCCACAAGAGCAACTGCTGCTTTTGAATCTCACAGGGCGCTGTGTACATGTGTATATGACATATGGGACTCAGAACACATGGGTCTTAGATGCCTACCATCCTCACAGCCATTCTGCAAAGTGGCCTTCATGTTCCCCTGGAGGAGAAACCGAGGCTAAGAGAGTCAAGTCTCCTGGCTGGGTTTCTGTTGTTAAATAGTTCAAATGAGGATTTGAACTGTTGTCTTGAGGTCTGGTAGCCACAAAGCATGTGTCTAAACCCACACTGCTGGGCTCAGAAAGGCTTAGACTCAAGGCTCTTGAGAGGCTGGGCAGTGTGGTTAGCTTACAACAGGCCTGCTGCCTCTGAACCTCGGACCTGGGGAGGACCAGCTTATTCATACCTCACTGTCCCCATCACAACTGGGTAGAGCATTGCCTAGGACTATAAGGATAGATAGGGGATATAATCAAAGTAGCTCTGATGGCATCACTGCTGTTAGTGTCCACCTTGTGAGCAGAACACTTGTTGGAGCACAGCAGTTCATCTCCAGCCTCTGGAGGTGTCAGCCATGTTGTTTTTCCCAGCATGCCCTGGGAAGGTGGGATGAGGGCCCTTCTGATTCTGTGTCTCCTCCCTCCATCACTGCAGCGGTTCTATGTGGCCTCCTCCCGGCAGCTGAAGCGCTTGGAGTCAGTCAGCCGCTCCCCCGTATACTCGCACTTCAATGAGACCTTGCTGGGTGTCAGTGTCATCCGTGCCTTTGAGGAGCAGGAACGCTTCATCCACCAGAGTGACCTGAAGGTGGATGACAACCAGAAGGCCTACTACCCCAGCATCGTGGCCAACAGGTGAGTGTACCCTCTGCCTCAGATTCTCCTGGGAGAGAGGTGAGCACAGAAGGACCATCCAGAACACACAGGAGCTGGCAGCAAGTGCCTAGAGTCTCAGCACTCTGGTGCCTGAGGCAGGAGATTGCTATGAGCTTCAAGCCAACCTGGGCTACAGAATGAGCCATGCTCTTAATCTAGAGGCTGGAGAGATGACTCAGTGGATAAGAGTGCTTGCTGTGCAAACATGTGGACCTGCGTTTGAGTCCCCAACACCTACATGAGAAGCTGAGCATGGCTGTGTGCCTGAGGCCACAGCTTTTGGGGGTGAGGGTAGGGTCCTGAGAATTCCTGTTCAGCCAGCCTAGCTGAAATGGACAACTTCTAGTTCAGTGAGAGACCCTACCTCAAGGTGATAAGGCACTGAGCGACACAGGAAGACACCCAACATCGTGTTCTCGCCTCTGCATGCATGCACCCTTGCACCCATGTATTTACTGTATGTACAAGCACAGGCATACACACAAAGCTAGAGTGCTATGATCATTCACCATCTTGAGGGCAGATAGGTGGAGGGGCAGTTTTCCTGGGGTCAGGAGACCCTGTCAGCACTGTTCTTCCTGTCCCCTTGGTGATGCCAGATCACCAGGGACTAATGGCTCTGGCCTTGAGTGTTCCACACCGCAGTTCCCTGCCGAGTGTGGTCCCACACCCTGAGCGAGGTATGGCTGAGGCTTTTCACACACAGCTTAAGCTTTGAAATAAACGATGTTAATCAAAAAGGCAGAAGCCTGCAAGTTCACTGAGTTTAGAGAAGTGTCCGATCTGTTCCCAAAACTGCATCCTCCTCACCCATTTGTGTCCTGACAAAGTTTCAAGGTAGGACAGACATGTGACTAGAGGTGGCTTATAACCAACTCTGAGCTCATTTTCCCAGCCTAGAGCCATAAGGTGAGGCTAGGTGGAGGGACCACGTGACTCACTGGAGCCCTGCTGTCCCTCGCAGGGGTTGCAGGGAGTTTGTGTGTGGGCATTTCATCTGGGTGTAGATCAGCTGCAGGAGCCTATGGGATGTGGTAGAAGAAAAATCCAATTTCCTCTCTCTAAACACAGAACACTTTACATGTTAAAACATGAAGACTGTCTCTAATGCTCTGTGGCTGATTATACAAGTTAATTTTGAACAAGTAAGACATGCTTATATTTTAAAAGCTAGAATTATGCCATTTAAATTTTTTTTCTTTTTTTTTTTTTTTGGTCTTTTTGAGACAGGGTCTCCTTGTAGCCCCAGCTGTCCTGGAACTCACTATGTAGACCAGGCTGGCCTTGAACTCACAGAGATCCACCTGCCTCTGCCACCACGCCCAGCCCATTTTAATATTTCTTAAGTTAGGATGCATTTGAGAGTGTGGTGGGAACATTGAAAATGGCGGCTTGCCGCCTCCTCCCTTCTATCTAGGTCCATCTCTTGCCAGGAGACTGATTTTATTTCTTTATGATTATTATTTAGTGGTGCTAAGGCTCGAAGCCAGAGCCTTATGCACATAGGCCTGTGCTCTACCAGAGCCCTACTCCCTGCCTTGAGACATTTGTTTGCTATCAGCCATTCCTCCTTCAGGGGATATACCTCAGGATTTAGGAATTTCCAGGGCATTGTTTTTTAATGCATATATGTGATATTTCCAAAGATTTCCCAAGAGAAAGTTGGTCTTTCTTAAGGCAAACTTGAGATTCCAGAGGTGATTGCTTCTGGAGAATTCTATTTTGGTCCTTGGGCATGCCAGAGTCCAGAAGAGTTGTTAGCCTTGAGTCCCATGATTCTGTCCCCCAGCGCCACTTCACAGGCCTTGGATGAGCAGGAACAGCAGGGGTGCTGGGAGATGGCAGGTGGCCCAGCTCTGTCCCACAGAGCCTGAAGCTTGGTGACTGAAAGACTGACTGAATCTGTCTGGCTCACACATACACACACATCTTGCAGGTGGCTGGCTGTGCGCCTCGAGTGCGTGGGCAACTGCATCGTGCTGTTTGCTGCCCTGTTCGCCGTCATCTCCCGGCACAGTCTCAGTGCTGGCTTGGTGGGCCTGTCGGTGTCCTACTCGCTGCAGGTAGGAGGGGGCTCTTACCTCATTGTTAAGGTCTCCACCGGAAACCAGCTTTCGAGTTCCTGGACCTTGGCTTTGGGTTCCCACAGGAGAAGGAGAGGGATTGGGTGGAGTTTGAGAAATGGGTACAGAGCCTGGTGAATAAAGTGGGGGGATGATTGACACATAGCCAAGATTCCCCATCAGTCAGGAAGATTCTTAGCAGCTTAATGCTGTCCGATCTATGAATTTTCCTCTAAGTGTTGCCTTTGCTGCATCCTGCCTTATATGCCTTGTTCTCATTATCACTGAGTTCAAAATAATTTTGTTTTTTTTTTTCGTTTGTTTGAGACGGTATTGGCTCTATAGCCCAGGCTGGTCTAGAACTCGTGGCAATCCTCCTGCCTCAGTGTCTGGAGCAGTGGGACAGACAAGAGTCAATCACGTTCAGCTTCAAAATATTTTGATTTCCTTTCTTGTTTTTTCCTTTGTTTTTGTTTTTAGTTTGTTTGTTGTTGTTGGTTGTTCTGGGACTAAAGATGTGTGCCACCATGCCTGGCTGTTTTTTCCACTATAGTTTTTTATCATTATTGTGGTTGGGGTGTGCCACAGTGCACATATGGTCAGAGCACAACTTGGTGAAGTTGGTTCTATCCTTCCACCTTTACCTGGGTACTGGGGATCAAACTCAGGGTTATGTGGCAAGTGGTTTACCCGTGGGGCCATCGGTTGGTGCCTGACTTCTTTTCTATGACTTATGGCCCATGTATCACCATAGGTCCTTAAGAGATGCAGAGTGGCAGCTCCATTGCTCATTTCTGTATTTATTTGCACAATGCTATAATACATGGTTAATGAAAATGAAGTCAGGCTCGCTCAACAAACCCTACATGACTCTTTCCACTGGCAGATCACTGCATACTTGAACTGGCTAGTTCGGATGTCATCTGAGATGGAGACCAACATTGTAGCTGTAGAGAGACTGAAGGAATACTCTGAAACCGAGAAGGAGGTAAGGCAGGCTCGGCCCGGCCTCGGCCTTCCAGGATCCAAGCCATGTCTTGGGCATCCTCTGCCCACATGGAGAGTAGTACCTTCTAGGTAAAAAGCCCTCTTATTTATGCTTGTCCTGTTTTGACACCTGCTTAGAACTAGCTTTTTTCAGAAGAAGAAAATAGTTCGTAATTGCCCTGTTTTGTCCAAGATGTCTGATGTCCATATACGAGACCCCAGGATGCTTTTGTCAGTAAGAAACGTTCCCCCTTATAATCCTTTTTCCTACCCCTTGATGATGACAGAAAGTCTTAGCATTGATTGTTGCTCAAGGCTTGTTGCTACTTTACTAAGAGAGATTCATGGCAGTGGACAGGTAAACCACAACCTTCTCTTTCACAGCTCTCGACAGGCAACCTCTGCCCAACAAAGTGACCTGCTCTCCGTTATGTAGTTTATGAGGGGCTTCCGTTACTGGAAATAATACAGTCTATTTGTGCCTGTGCAGAAATTTTCCCTTAAGTTTGAGATTTAAGTAGAAATAAGTTGATAGAAGTATTCGAAGTAAGTTGGGGAGGTGGCTCAGTGGGTAAAATGCTCACCTCACAAGCATGAGGACCCAAGTTGGATGCCCAGCACCCAGCTAAAAGCTGAGCAGGCAGTTTGTACCTGCTGAGTCCTCTCCTCCCTCCCTTTGTGATCCAGGCTCCCTGGCAAATCCAGGAGACGACTCCACCCAGCAACTGGCCCCAGACAGGCCGCGTGGAGTTCCGGGACTACGGCCTGCGGTACCGAGAGGACTTGGACTTGGTTCTTAAGCACATTAATGTCACCATTGAGGGGGGAGAAAAGGTGGGTGTGTGTATCCCTTCATCCTTACTCGCAGTCCAGCGTGAACCCCCTGCATGCTGCAGTTGGTCACTGCCCATACCATGGGGGCTGAAGGACTTTTTGTGGGGAGAGTCATGGAAATAAAAGGTGTTGAATGTGTCCAAAAGCCTACATGGGGGCTTCCTAGAAGAAACTAGCCCTCCAGTTCAGCCCGGTTCCTCCTATGTGGTCCTTGTGCCTGCATGGCCCCTGTAAGCCATCAAAGTTTGTGATCTCTAGCATAGTAAGGTAGCACACACCATTGCTGCTTGGGTGGCTCTAGGGATTTGGGAGGTTGTTGGGATTTTAGAACCTTCCATTGGTTCCAGGCTACTCCTGGAAGATATTTCTGCCTATGATGCCAAAATTTCCTCAGAAACCCGGTCAGGGGTCGTTCCCACTCTTTGTCTCTGAACATGTGGATTTGTTAAACTGTCGGGCCACAGGGTCAGAGTGCTGTTTCCATGGAGTGGTTTCTCTGACTTATGATAAGGGGCATTCTTGCTGAGTCACGTATGGCTCAAATCACATCCTGGGACTCTGTGCACCATGTGTGCTGGACTGTGACAATTATTAGTGGGTGAGGGAGCAAAACCCAGAAGGAAAACTCAAGTTGGAAGTTGGGGGTGGCAGCCATTGCCAGTAACTGAGGTAGCCAGCTTGTTCCAGTGGAGCCCTGGTTCATATCAGAGGGGTTTAGGAGCTCTGCTTGAATCTGAGGTGTTGTGACAGCCCAGGATGGAACTCTCATTAGAGGAGAAACATCTTGGGAATGTCAGAAAAAATTATTTCCTGATTCTCTCTTGAATTGAGGATAATAGGATTAGATTAAACATTCCTTCTGCCTGCCTCATGCCTCTCTGAGCATCTTTACTAACTTATAAAATGTCCTAGTCCTCTGGGGACCCTGCATAACAAAGGGTGTCCTTTCCAGCCTGTTGTGGAAGTAGCCCTTCCCAGGGTGGGAAGACCCTGGGAAGCTGAACAGTTAGCGCTGTGATGAGAGTTGGATTAACCAGATGACTGCTCTGCTCTGACCCAGCACCTACTGGAGGGATACCCAGGCTGGGGTCTCCCTATCTCACCTGAAGTCTTCCCTATTCCTGTCCCACAGGTTGGCATCGTGGGCCGTACAGGAGCCGGGAAGTCATCTCTGACCCTGGGTTTGTTTCGGATCAATGAGTCTGCAGAAGGGGAGATTGTTATTGATGGGGTGAATATCGCCAAGATCGGCCTGCACAGCCTGCGCTTCAAGATCACCATCATCCCCCAGGTGGGCAGGTCCTGCATGTGCACCAAAGCCACACCTAGCCTCTGCATCTGCAGGCTCAACCATCCGTAGATCAAGCATGTTTTTACATTCATTTATTTATTGTATGTGGGGTGGGGGTACATAGCATGCATGTGAAGATCAGAGGACAACTGTAGAAGTCAGTTCTCTCCTTCTACTATGTGGGCTCCAGATATTAAATATGAAAAACGTCCTCCACTCCCTAAACGAATGGTAACCATTAAAATCACTATTAAAAAACTCTTTCCTATAATATTATGGGTATGTTTATGGAAGCATTTGCTCCCCATCCTCATTCCTACGTATGCCACCTTTCCTGACCTCAAATGTATATATTTTAAAATTTATTTATGAGGAGAGGGGAAAGGTGAGAGAATATGCACACCATGGCATGTATATGGAGGTTAGAGGACAACTTTGTGGGACTTGGTTTTGTCCTTCAAGGCTCCAGAGATCAAACAGGTCGTCAGGCTTAGTGGCAGGTACATTTACCTGCTGAACTGTCTCACTGACCCAAGAATATCGTTTTGTGTTTGTACTTTTGTCCCTAAGAAATGCAGAGTAACAACTGTTTTCCTAGTGTTGATGTGGCATTGGGTGTTATCCCTAGATGGCTTGATGGTATACAGGTTGCATGAACATTAGATGAAAGTGCTGGCCACCTTTTATAAAAGGAACCTGAGTATTGTGGGGTATTGCAGGGCTCAGTAAGACACTGTCTTCTCTGCTGGCTGTGGGAGTCGTGTGGTTGTCTCTAATAGTTCCTAGAGCTGAACCACATGTAAGGATTTTCTAGACCAGTCCCTCTAGGTAGCAATTCCCTAATGCGCCACCAGTTACAATTTTCCCTTAAGTTTCTCCAGAGTCTCAATATTTTAGGAATTACCATGCCACATCTCCCTTTTGGAAAATTCCTAACACATTTGCATACTGAAAGCTCTGAGTTTTGCAAAAACACAGTTTCAGTCCAGTTGGCCCGGGGTTTTCCAGCCATTTTCCATTACAAATTATCCCCAGGGTTCATGGTTTAGAGGAATCTGAGTCCCCTCCCTGTTCTGGATAGACAGTTCAGGTTCCCCTCTGCACCACCCTGCAGTGTGGCAGGAGTGTCTCATGAAATGCTAGTACTCTGACGGCTGTGACAAATACCTGACAGGCAACTTCAGGGAGGAGAGGTTTATTTTGGCTCCTGGTGTCAGAGGACTGGCTGCAGTCCATTGTACCAGGGAGAGCATGTGCTAACCTGGTAGGACTGTGTGGTTCTATCTCCTCTGTGTCAGGGAGCAGGAAGCAGGGACTCAGTCAGAACCAGAGCTATCCTTCAGGGCCCGCTCCCAGCAACCTACTTCCTCAAGCCAGGCCCCACCTCCTAAAGGCTCCACAGCCTCCTAAAATAGTGCTACCAAGTTGGAGAACAAGTGGTCAAAACAGGAGCCTATGGGGAACCTTCAGACCCTCACACATGCCATCTGCCATTCTTGTGCAGGACCCCGTTTTGTTCTCTGGTTCCCTTCGAATGAATCTGGATCCATTCAGTCAGTATTCAGATGAGGAGGTCTGGACGGCACTGGAGCTCTCTCACCTGAAGGGCTTCGTGTCAGCTCTGCCCGACAAGCTCAACCACGAGTGTGCAGAGGGCGGGGAGAACCTGAGGTAGGTGGGTAGGGCCAGGTATGGGAAGATTCTCTCCTCCCCTCTGTGCCAGCTTTGGCACTCCATTGTCACAGCAACCAGTCTCCATTCTGCTCTCCTACCAGAGAGGACAGCCAGTGGCTGTACTGATCTTGCCTGGGCTGTTCATGTGAGGGGCACTCAGCTGGCTGTTGGCTGATCTATTTGGCCTCAATGGGACCAGTGCATATGCCCCTCATTCTCCTACAGACTGGCCTAGGCATGTTGTCATGGTGACAGGAGATGTGCAAGAGTGACCATGACCAGTATTCATTCCCACATCAGGCCCCTGCCAGCCATACTTTGACCAGCATGCCATTGGCCAGTCTCCTGCAGGTGTCTGAGTCCAGCCAGTGCTGAGAGCCTTATATCTCGTTGGAATGCATGGATACAGAGCCGTTTGCTATCTACTTGTCACCCACATTAAACTGGACTGATATTTTGAGCATCATCTCTGAACCTTGTGTTGAGAATGATCCTAATCCCATTTCTTGCTCAACATGAAGTGTAGTATGATTGATTCATCTGCCACAGGCATGGATATAGAGAGTAGGTGTGCTCTCCTGCTCAGAGCATCAAGATTTCTCCCACCCCAGACCTCACTCAGGGTTAAGGGTGGTTTGACCCTCTGCCTCTGGACTTTTTCTCCCTTTCTAGTGTCGGACAGCGCCAGCTTGTGTGCCTGGCCCGGGCTCTGCTGAGAAAGACGAAGATCCTCGTGTTGGACGAAGCTACAGCAGCTGTGGACCTGGAAACAGATGACCTCATTCAGTCCACCATCCGGACACAGTTTGAAGGCTGTACTGTGCTCACTATTGCCCACCGTCTCAACACCATTATGGACTACACAAGGTGAGGCCCCTATGGTGCCTGTGAGGGTTGTCCCTGTCCATGGGCACATTTACTTATTCATTGCTGTCCTTTGCCCAGGGGCAGCCCTAGGGGGTGGAACCCCTCTGTCCTGGGCAGAACTAGGTATTTTCAGTACTATTCATTCATGTATGTATATGCATGAGGTTCCCTCTGTGTGCCCAGGATCTAGACTCTGGGAACCCCGAAAGATGCTCTCAGCCATCTTAGGGATAGGGGTGCTTAGATAAGAGAGAAGGATAGTGATCCAAGCAACAGACTGTGACTTCGGAGGGTGACGTGCTGGGAATAAGTTCTAACAAGGAGATGGGAGGGTGGGTACTAGGCTGAACCAGCCTGGGGTCTGTGTTTTCTTTTACAGATCAAAAAAAAATATTCAGTGTGTGCCCACTTGTTTGTCCCCAGCCTGTATTATACTTGTCTCTCTAGCATAGGTCATAAAATACAATTTTACAAATCTCCTGTAGGTGTGTGTGCGGGTGTGAGTTTGTGGAGGTCAAGGACGGCCTTGGGTATTGGTCCTAGCCTTCCTCCCTGCTTCAGGCTGCATTCTTCACTGCGGCATACACAGGTTAGCTGGCCCACATGCTTCCAGAAGTTCTCCTGCCTAACCTCCCACCTCCCGATAGGATTGCAGGGCTTACAAGTGCCTGTGCTCCTGAGTTGGGCTTTCGTGTGGAGCCTGGGGCTCTGGACTAGATTCTGAAGCCAGCCCACCCCCACCACTAGAGTTTTGACTATTTTCTGCAGAGCAAGTCGTCTCACAGATGTCTGGGCTCCCCAAAGTCCTAACATAATCCTAATGCTGGGGTGTTGAGGGATTGAAGCTAGCACAAGTGGCCAGAGTAAGGCCTCCCCCAGGAGGTGACATTTGAATAATGAAAAGGAATCAACTAGGAAAGATCTAGGGAGGGACCAATAACCTTTTGTGGTCAAGGACAAAATAGTTTAGCTGTGAAAGCAGCCACAGGCAAGTAGAAGTAGATAAGCATGGCTGTGTTCTGATAAAACTTTATTCATAAAAACAGCCAGTGGGCCAGATTTGGACACTCAGTTATACATATTCATTGTTCCATTATACTCAGAATAGAATAAAATAAAATAGAAATTTTCCCATATTTGACCTAAAGAAAGAACATTTTAGGCAGAGGGCAGGGCCAAAGATTAAAGCCCAGATGTGGGGAGGCACCTAATAGATTGAAACCCAGCCTGAGAACAGTGCATAGGAGGTTGGAACTGAATGGATAGTTGTCAGAGACAGGGTTAGAAGGTAGGCTCAGGCTAGACCTTTGAGCTCCATGTAACTAGAGGAAGAAATTTAAAACTTTCTCTGAGGGTGCTGTGAAACCGTGGAAGGTTGGAAAGCAGAGGAGCCAAGTGACATTACAAAAGAAATTGCTGCCGGACATGATGGTGCATAGCTTTAATTCCAGCACTCCAGAGGCAAAGATGGATCTCTGTGAGTTCAAGTCAGCCAGGGCTACTACATAGTGAGACCTTATTTACAAAAAAAAAAAAAAGCTGAAAAGGAAAAGAAATTGCTTGAGAACCTGCTGTGTGGCAGACTCTTTGGGTACATTGGAGGCTCAGGGAGAACAGTCTGCAGTGAGGTCTGCAGTGGGCAGGATAGAGCCCAATGGACATTCTATACCAGGGTCTGTAATCTATGGCCCCCAGGCCGAACCTGGTCTGCTGTCTGTTTTTATGAATAAAGTTTTATTGGCACCCAGCCATGCCTGTTCATTTCCCTGTTGTCTGTGGCTGTGTCCCTGTTATCAGTGCAACAGTGACAACCTGCAGATACCATCCAGCCTTTTTCATTTTTAGAAAAATGCTACAGACCCCTGCTGCACACGGTAGTCAGATCTTTTCATTTTAGTCCAAGTGTAACGGAACAGTGCATGTGAACAGCAGACATAATTACCGTTACCGGCTGCTCCTGCGAGTATCGATGTGGGTGGAAATCAAGGTGGCAGCTTCTTGGGATTTTGACATTGGTTAGAAGTAGAGATTGAGTGGGCCTTTCGGGGTGCATCTCTTCTGTGGCCCTCACTTCTGCATCCTCTTGCTCTGCAGGGTGATTGTCCTGGACAAAGGAGAAGTTCGAGAGTGTGGTCCACCCTCGGAGCTTCTGCAGCAGAGGGGCATCTTCTATAACATGGCCAGAGATGCCGGCTTGGTGTGAGCCGGGACTGGTGCTTTGGGTAAGAGCCACTGTCCCAGCATCCAGGGATGAGCCAGCATACCTGGGAACCCAAGCCTCCAAGACAGAAACCAAAAAATACAAAAAAGAAAGAAAACTAAACTCCCCAAACCAAAGCATGCAAAGCTACAGTTGCTATCTGGCCCTGCCCTGGAACTGACCTTAAAGAACTGGGAGACAGACACTCCCCCTTTCAAACATGCACATCTGGTCTCTTGCGCCCCCCAAGAGGTTCCCCTGGAAACACACACTTGTATCCTGCTGCAGTCCACAACCGGGCCTTTGACAGCCAGACTTGTGGAGAGATCCATGGTGTCAAACATACTTGTGACCAAACGCAGTCACTGCCTCGTGTCTCCAGCCACACCTGTGCACTCCAAGCCTTTGAGCCTCTCCCAGCCCCACAAGCTCTTCCATCACCTACCGTGGCCTCCTCTGACTCCAGAGGAGTACTTCCTGTCCAGGACTGCAGTTGAGAGAGCATGAGGACCTGATAAAAATCACTGACCCGCCGTGTCCAGCTGTGTGACAGTCACCTTGCCTGCCATCTGGTCTTCCAGGAGCTCTGATACTGCCCCCCACACCCAGTGCTACTGTCTGATTAAGGGACATGACCAGACAAGTGGTGATCCACACCTGGAACTGCAGGGCCAGGCCACACTCCCTTCACAAGGATGTCCTCCCTGCTCCAACATCCCTCCCTTGCTTCCTGCCTCTTCCTGTCCATCACTGGAGTGGGTTCGCTGCTCTCCGAAGGTCTGTGAATGATGATGAGCCGTGAAAGTCAAGAGCAGGATAGACCATAGATGAGCCTTTGGTACCAAAGAGAGACCCAGTGGTCTGAGTTTAGATTTTAATTCCTCTCCCTTGGCAGCAGACTGGTTGTCGGCCACCACGATGCAAACCTGCCATCCACTGACTGTGTCTTCTCCAGGGCAAGAGGCGAGCCCACCACCAATAGCATCATATTTTTCTTTTTTTAAGTATCACTCCAGGGAGAAAGACCTTCTTAAGAATCTGGCTTCTAGGAAGGAGGTACTGGGCCCAGGAAGCAGCCACAATGGGCCCAGCACTTGGCCTTCGGTCCATGTGTTCTTGGAAAAAGTAGAGTTCTTCGAGTCCTCTAGATGTTTGGGTTACAAACCAAAGAGAGACCTGGAGGCTGTGAGAGCTGGCCACCAGCCCACAGCTCATACTCGCTATGAGCTACAGTGCTGACTTGACCCAAGAGAAGCTTTTTCTTTAGGTGGAAATATATATATTTATTTTTTGTAAGTTATACCATTCTTTCACATTAGAAAGCCCAAGTTTCTCTTGGGTCTTTTTGTAATGACTTTACACTGGAAACGTGAAAATTTGCAGATAATTTGCAGTAAAGAAAAATATTTTATTTCTTTCTAAACAACCATTCTATTTTCTTTCGGGCACAGGCAAAGGTTTCTTATCTCCACTCTAGAACCAGATTGGGGCATCTATGTTGCTGCTGTTGTCAGAGTGGGGAGGTGGGACTGGAAAGATGGCTCAGTGCGTAAGAGTGCTTGCTGCTCTTCCAGAGGACCTGAGTTCAGGTCCCAGCACCCACATCAGGCGGCTCACAACAGCCTGTAACTCTAGTTCCAGGGGATCCAATGCCTTCTCCTGGCTTCTGGGGGTACCTGTACTCATATACACATAGCCACACACAGACACACACATATACATAATGAAAATAAATTTTTAAAGTAGGGGCCAAGATCAAGGGCTGGCTGGAGCTTGGCAGTAAGTTAGCATGACAGAGTGCACGGGGCCTAGGCTTGAGTCCTATCCTCATTTGTTGGTCATGTGACCCTGGGTAAATCACTTAGACTGTGTCTTGGTTCTGTTTGCAAAAGGCCAGGTTCTCGACAAAGGTCACAAATGGCCCAAATGACCTTCACATCCCCCTTTGTATTAGGGTGGGTGAGACTAGGCTGCAGTAACAAGACCTAAGCTCCTGGGAAATGGAACTGGGGAGATAGCTCAGTTGGTAAAGTGTTTGCTGTGTAAGTGTAAGGACCTAAATTTCCATCCCTACCACCATGTAAAAAGCCAGGTGTACACATGTAATCCCAGCACTGCTGAGGAAACAGGTGGATCCCTGGAGCTCACTGGTCAGCCACCCTAGCCCAATTGGTGAGCTCTGGGTTCAGTGAGAGAACCCTGTCTCAAAAACAAGATGAGGGGAGGGCTGGACAGGTAGCTTTGTGGTTAAGAGCATGTACTGCTCTCGTAGAGGACCTGAGTTCAGTTCCCAACACCCAAGATGGACAACTCACAAGTGCCTGAAACTTCAGCTCTTCTGAATTCCTCAGGCACCTGCACTCACATGCACATATCCATATATAGACACATACATGTATACATAATGTTTTTAATTGAAAAAAACGAAGAGGGATAGAGGAAAACACCTAACACCAACCTGTGGCCTCTGTACACATATACACGTGTACCTGTACACATGTATGCACATACAATACAATCTTGAGGACAGTCAGGCATCTCTGCAGGGTGACTGCCTTCTGTGAGGCATCTCAGAGAGCCACATTAGACTCCTGTCATTGTGGATGACAGCCAGCCACTACTGTGTCTCAGACCAGAGGGGATGCTCACACCATTCACAGCCCATTGACAAAAATCAGCCACGTGCTTGACCACTGGGTAAGTCGGGTGGAACAGAAGTGCTCATCCTCAGTGGAGCTCTGGGGTTAAACAGTGGGGTATATGAGACTGGGTTCTGGCTTTCTGAATTTGAGCTAGGTGAGCTGGGTAGTGAGGAGGGAGTATCTATATTTTGGGGGGCACTCTTTGTGCAGCAAACTCTAAGATTCTGCCACCAGCATGTGCACACTGCTATTCCCCATGGAAACCCTTGGCTTGCACTGGGGCCCCAGAGCAGGATGGGATTGGAATACAGCAGCAGGTGAGCTGACCATTAGTCTCAGCATCATCTGGACCTGCCTCCTGGGTGCCTGGGCCTTTATATATGGGTGAGTTTCTGTCTCACAGCCTAATGCCAAGCCTCACAATCCCAGGCCACATCTTTAACAGGCCTCAGGGCTCTGTGGGGAGTTAGTGGGAATGGAGCCTGGGTGCTCAGAAACCAGGGTCCAGGGTCAACTTAATCTGCTCTGTGAAGCAGCAGCTGAGGGAGGCATTAACCAGATTCCAGATCGGGTCTTCAGGAGCATGGGAGAACAGGGGGCCTTCCCCAGGGCTCTCCCCACTTCTGTCTCTAGTCACCACACCACACAGTTTGTCTTCCACTCAGTAGCCATACAGACCTTGTAAACACATGATAGGGTAGCTCCTCTGTCACAAACCTCCTGTGTCCCCAACTTCCAGCAGCAGCCAGCCTCAGCCCCCAGGTCCTATCCAAGCTGGCTTCAAAGGCCTTTGCCGTCAGTGTCTGTTCCAGGCCCAGTCCCCTCCTCTAGACTACCGCAAACAGCTCCTATTATAAGCCTGGTTCTTTGATCAGATAGAGCCAGGGCCTGTGCTGGGGGTGTCACCAGGGCCTGTAAACCTAATCCTTTAGGACAACAGATCCCACACTGGTACCACATGGGTTGTCACAAACCCTGGCTGGGGCTTAATGACCCATGAAACAATTGAAAGTTGTGCCTGGCCCCAAGTGTGTATCCCAACAGGTATAGCCCATTCACTAGTCCCTCCTCAGTTCACACTTTCAGTATTTAGAGTGTCTGTGCTGTGTCCCAGGCAAGGTTCTGGACACACCTGGTAGACAAACTTCTTGAGCAAGTATCTCGAAAAGGAAAGGAAACCCAACCCCAGCCTCTGCTCTGTGCCCCAAAGGTGGGAGACTACAGAAGTCTGCTCCAGGTATACACTGATGTTCTAGAGTCCATGGAGACAGGGATCTGTACTGTCTAATAAACTCTGGTCTCTGCTCTTCTGTCAAAAAATGTAGTGACTGTCAGTATATCCATAAAAGGGATGTAGGAAGGAAGGGACAGAATGATGCCTCCCCCGTTGGGCCACCTGAATGAATGTGACTGGCATTTCCAGCTGTCCTGGCATTAGCTGTATTTGTAGTGAGGCAGGGGACTGATAAAACAGACACCAGCGACAATCTGGGATGCAGCTTGGTGGTACTGTTTGCCTCATGTGCAAAGCCCTGGGTTCCATGCCCAGCATGGCAGGGAAAAAAAAAGCCCACAGGGGCAGCCAGAGGCTGAGGATGTCTGCCTTGTCCAATTCCTGTTCCTCCCACCAACTGAGCCCTGCTGACCCCAGATCATCAGTGGGGATTAATGGCCTGGATTGCTCTGCTGGCTGGCCTTGTGCTCCCACGTGCCAGCCACCTGTGGCCAGGCTTTGTTCTTAGGTCATGTGGGGTTTCGACAGAGGCTCTGGAGTGCCCCCAGCTGGCCCTGCAGACTCACAGCAGCCTCCACCCCAGCCCGGGCAGCTGAGTGGTGGCAGAGTGCTGGACCATGGAACTGGGCAATAAGAAACCCAGGAGCGAGTTCCCACCTAGCCACTGGTTAGCTGGGTGCCCTTGGTACCTGTTAACCACTTTTTCCAGCCTCGGTTTCCTCTTCTGCAGATAGAACTAGTTATAGTGATGTGGCCAACTCCCTGCTGTGTTGAAGGTCTCAGAATGAGCTGCTGGCCACACTTGCAAATGGGGACCAGACACTGCCATTCGATGTCACTGTGGGTCACTCTATGCTGAAGGGGAACCCCCAAGCCCTACATTAGGGTGCGCTCTCAGAGGCTCCATGGCCTGGTCGCGGGGAGCAGGCCCTGTATCCTAGAAGCAGGTAGGAGTCCCCTCCTGAACCCAACAGTCACTGCCCATATATCTATCAGGGGGTCACGGATGGCACTGGGGCAGATTACATCGATAACTAGGCCCCAGAGGCCCATGGCAACAGTTCTGATAAAGTTACAGAGAGTGTCCCTGAGTTCAGGCCAAGGGCACTGCTGGAATGCACAGGACAGACCCACACTAGGCAACAGTGATAAGTCGAGGTGAGCTGGTGGCACGTCTGTCATTCCAGTGCTCTAGAGGCTGAGGCAGGAGGATCTTGAGTTTTGAGGTCAGCCTGGGCAACATAGGCATGAAAATGAATCCAAGGCTGGGGATGCAGCTCAGTTGGTCGAATGCTCGGCTTGCTTAGCATGTATGAAGCCCTGAGTTTGAGCTCCATAAGTGGTGTACGGATGCACAGAAGCAGGCAGATCAGAAGCTCAAGGTCATCCTCAGCTACACAGAGAGTTCGAGGCCAGCCTGGGCTACATGAGGACCTGTCTCAAACAACAACAAAAAGCACTGAGCCCATAACAAATTCACAAGCAATAGAGGAAATATGAACGTGATTGTTGCGTGTGCCACTTAATCATATCCTAGGTGCTGCTCTGGGACAAACAGGGCAGAGGGTCCATGGGTTCTTTCTCTGCATTATTTCTTAAAAGTGCACATAAAATCTACAAAGACCTCAAATATAAGGGGAGTTTTAGAAAATGTGCACACCATTGCCCAGGTCCAGGGCACCTGGCCTGATTGGCCTAGGGTGGGTGTGGCCTTGAATCCAGTGGGCAGCCAGGGGCAAGGGCTGCTGTCCACTTGGCTGTAGGGTGGGCATGGCTGTGCAGACCTTGCCCAGGCCAATGTGGACATGCCAGGTCCTTTCGAGTCTTAACATTCTGATGGTCGGCTGCTGTCTGCCATCATCTTCCTGAAAAGGTACCTAAATTGGGCAGCATGATGACCTGTGGATCACTGCATCTCTGGCCAATGCAGGCTCTATGGCTGGCCCCTCAGGAGCTGTTGAGAGTCTTCATTCATGCCAGGCCTGACTCCTGGGCCAGCCTGTAAAACAGGCCTTTCTGGGCTAGCAGCTGGGCTGGGCTGCCACTTTCTGCCACCTGCCCCTGGTCCATGACCAGCACCCTGCAGGGAAGAAGGACATGAGGCAGAGCTTGGGATAGCAGCCTAGGTTCCCTGCTATCTGAGAACCCATCTCTGCTCTCAGGTTTGTTCCCATACATCTGACTCTCCCAGCAGCTTCCTGACCCTCCGATCTTGAAAACAAGCCCTGGACCTCATGCTTTCCCCGGGGGGCCCTGGGTGTACCTCCTGTACAGTGGGTACTTAATAGTCCATCTCAGGACCCTTCCAGCTGGCCATTTGGCACATCCTCCCGTGCCTGGGTGGATGTGTCTGTGTATCACCATGGGGAGGGACGCCTTACCTGGTGCAATCCATCACGGAACGCAGGCGGTGGGCAATGAGCAGTACTGTGCACTGAGCAAACCAGTGCCCGAGGGCTGCTTGAATCTGCAGTTCTGTCCCTGGGTCCACAGCAGCAGTAGCCTCATCCAGGATAAGGATCTGAGTTTTCCGGAGAAGGGCACGTGCCAAGCATAAGAGCTGTTTCTGACCCACGCTGTGAATGAGCCACAGTGTTAGGCCCAGCAGGTGTCATGTCATCAGTCATTGTGGCTGATTTGTCTGGTCTAGCCAGCCAGTTCTCCCCAGGGATCCCCTGTCTCTGCCTCCTGAGTGCCTGAATTTTAGATGGCTGCCAACCCACAGGCACTTACATGGGTTCTGGGGTTCTGAACCCTGGTCCTTATGTACCCCAGCAAGCACTTTAGCCACTGAGGCAGCCCATGTTTTCTATTTCTCTCCTATGGTCTTCAGTGGTCTCCATCACAACATTCTAAGTGCTTATTTGGATATCAGCTACAAAGGTGGATAATATTGTCCTGGAACTCACTAAGTAGACCAGGTTGACCTTGAAGTTACAGAGATCTGCCTGCCTCTGCCTCTTGAGTGCTGGGATTAAAGGCGTGCAGCACCCCATCTTAGATTTTGTTTTCTGAGTTAGGGTCTCATTTATGTAGCCTAAACTGGCTTCAAACATACAATTCTCACACCTTAGCCTGGCTTGCAACACCAGGCCCAGCTATATATAACTAATTCTCTCCACTGCTAAACTATATGTTTAGGTAAGTCTCTGGGCAGGGGCTGCAGAGCAAGGGTAGAGTGCTAGTATGCACAAGGCCCTAGGTTCAATCCCCTGCACTGGAAAAAAATTTAAATGATAAAAAAATTTATATTATGTGCATTTCATGCTTAAAATATTTAGGGAAAGGGCACTGGGGAGATGGCGCAGTTGTAAAGTGGCTTGCTACGAAAGCATAAGGACCTGAGCTCAGATTCCCAGGACCTGAGTAAAAGCTGGTGCAATGTAATCCCAGGACTGAGGGTGCAGAGACAGGAGGATCCCTGGGGCTCTCTGGTCAGCCAGCCTAGCCTAATCTGTAAACTCCAGGTTCAGTGAGAGAACCTGTCTCAAAAAATAAGGTGGAGAACAATCAGAGAAGACACTCAATGTTGAGCTCTGGCCTTTACACACATACACATGCGTACACACAAATATATTAGGAAAGAAACACACATTGTATCACTTGGCTCTAATGAATGTGAGGTCAGTATCAAATATCAAGAGATAGTATTGCTCTTGGCACTGCAAATAAGAGCTGGGATCTGGGGGGGGGGTTCTTTTTTGTGACAGGGTCTCCCTGTAGCCCCAGCTGTCCTGGAACTCACTATGTAGAGCAGGCTGGCCTTGAACTCACAGAGATCCACCTGCCTCTGCCTCCCAAGTGCTGGGATTAAAGGTGTGCACTACCACGCCTGGCTGGGACCTGGATTGGTAGAAGGGGGTTGAGGGTTCCCTGGGGTCCTGCTCAGAGCTCCAGGACTGTCGCTGCCCCCACCCACCACCTGCTGGTCCTGCCATGGTGGGTGGCCATACCTCAAGTCGTCCCCCTGGCCAGCACATTCATACTGCAGTTGACCAGGCAGGCTGGCCACAAAGGCTTTGAGCTGCACTGTCTCCAGGGCTGCCCAGATGGTCTCATCTGTGTGCTCCTGGAGCAGATCAAGGTTCATTTGCAGAGAGCCTGGGAACAGGACGGGGTCCTGGCCAGGAAGGACACTGGGTCAGAACAGGGTCTTGCCCTAGTTCCCACCTCCACTACCCACCCTCCATGGTCCCAGGTCTCACCTGGGGAAGGATGGTGATTCGGGACCTCAGTGTGTGCAGCCCCACGTGGGTGATGGGGACCCCGTCGATCCAGATGCCACCCTCAGCTGCCTCCTGCAGCCGCAGCAGGCCTCCAGCCAGGGAGGACTTCCCAGCCCCTGTCCTGCCCACAATGCCTACCTGCCAGGGGACAGGAGAGCAAGGCCCACTCTGAGGAGGTCTGGCCCTGGGAAAGTGAGCCCCAGCCCTCATGTTTCAGGGCACCTATTTGAAAGATGTTTTCCTACATGAAATTTGTCCCTCCACTTACCATTATTTGAGCATGCCCTCCCCCACACACCTGTCCATCAGTCCACCCAGGCTTCCAGCGTCCCTATCTTCCCTCCTCCTGGCATTTCTCGTCCCTCCATCTGTTCCCACCTTTCCTGTATGCCCTTAGCCTTCTACATCACTCCCCATCCTTCCAGAAATGTCCTATTACTCCTCATCCTCCCTGCATCCTGTCCTTCTATCTGTGCCCCTCCTTCCAGCCTTTATCCTCTCTTCCATCCATCCATTGGTCCACCCATCTTTTCTTTCATTTACTCCCAATATTTCCTTCTAGTCATCTCCACCCTATCCATGCATCTCATTCTTTCTATACCCCATCCTTCCTCACCCATCCCTCACCCACCCCCATTCATCCGTCACCCACCCCTCATCCACCCTTCACCCTTCATCCATTCCTCATCCATCCTCCATCCATCCCTCACCCACCCCTCACCCACCCTTCATCCATCCCCCATCCTTCCATTCTCTTCTCTTTTCTATTGTATCCTCAGTATCTGGCACTGGGCAGAAATTTACTGCTTACAAATAGACATGTGGAGCTGGAGACGACTCAGCAGTTAAGAGCACTGGCTGCTCTTGCAGAGGATCCAGATTCAGTTCCCAGCACCCACATGGTGGCTAACGACTGTCTATAACTCCAGTTCCAGAAAATCCGAGGCCCTCTTCTGACCTCCATGAGCATTGCATGACAAAGGTGTTCTTACATACATGCAAGCAATACATTCGTACACATAAATAATAATAACTAAAACATTTTTTAATTAAAAAAAGCCAAATAAACATGTGTCCTCACTGTATGCTAGGCACACTTTTAGGCACTAGGAATACAAAAATTAAAAGGCCTTGTCCCAACCTGCTTTACTCTCTCGTATATTACAAGAGAGTACAACTTAATACAGTATGACAAACAAGCTTAGAACCTGTAGCCACCAAGGTAAGCGGGAAGGACCTGTTCATTTTGCCTAGGCTACAGTTTGATAGGGCAGCCAAGAAGGCTTGAGGGAGAGAGGACACTTAAGTAAGATCATGCAGGATTGAGTAGGAGTATGGGAGGGGGAAGGACTCCGGGCAACGTATGCCAAGGGGGTTACACTACAAGCTCACTGAGCTTACAGCACTATGAGTTCACCTAGCCTAGAGGTAGCCACTCCGCCAGTGCTGGCTGGGGCCCAGGCAGAGCAATGGACGTGGCAAGGTGGTAAGCAGAGCCTTGAATGTCAAGTTCAAGTGTGAAACTGAGGACAGATATGGTGGCACATGCCTTTAATCCCATAATCCTAGCACTTGGGAGGCAGAAGCAGGTGGCTCTCTATGAGCTTGGGGCCAGCTTGGTTTACATAGCCAGTTCCAGACCAGCTAGGGCTACTTAATGAGACCCTGTCTCAAAAAAAAAAAAAAAAAAAAAAAAAGAGGCTGGGGAGTCAGCGCTCAGTGGAAGGTTGCAAGCAGGAGAATGACTTGGGGATGGTGAGACAGGAGACTGGCATCTTACTGGGGAGCCTGGAGCAGTGGAGGGGCCCAGCCTGGACAGGAGTCAGTGAACCATGAATTAGCCACAGAGTGAGAAATGGAAATACAAGCACTTTCCACACAGGCCTTTCATGAAAGTAAGCATGCCAAAAATAAGAATGACAGCAGCTGGGGCTGGAGAGATGGCTCAGCTGTTAAGAGCACTGGTGGCTCTTGCAAAGGACCCAGACTCAGTTCCCACCACCTCTCATGAAAGCTAACAGCCATCCATAACTTCAGTTCCAGGAGATCCAACACCCTCTTCTGGCCTCTGCAGGCACTGCATGCTTGGGGTGCACTTCTATACACAAACATTCATACACATAAAATGAAAGTAATAAATAAAAAATTTAATTAAAAAAATCCAGCAGCAGCAGCCCCCCTCCCAGAGTGCTTGCTGTGTGCCTACTGCTTTGGGTGAATTAACAAGTTCTGCAATTGTTCTAGGAGGGCGGAGAATGATTCTCATTTCACAGGTGAGAAAAATGAGGCCAAGACATTGACTTCTCAAAGTCACCACAGCAAAGCCAGGAATCTGCCACATGCCAGCTGGATAGTACCTTTTGTCAACATGACACAAAACCTAGACTCACCTGGGGAGAGGGAAGCTGGACTGAGGAACTGCTTCCCATTGGACTGACCTGTGAGCATGTCTGTGGGGCATTGTCTTGACTGCTAAGTGATGTGGGAAGGCCTAGCCCACTGTGGGCAGTGCCACCCCTAGGCAGGTGGGTCTGGGCTGTATAAGAAAGCCTGCTGAGAAAGCCAGGGGAGCAGGCCAGTGAGCAGCACCCTCCATGGTTTCTGCTTGAGTTCTTGCCCTGACTTCCCTCAATGATGGGCTGTGAATGGAACGTGTAAGTCGAACAAACCCTCTCCTCCCCAAGTTGCTTTTGGTTGTGGTGTTTATCCCAGCAACAGAAAGCAAACTGGAACTGACTGTTTAGCATTGCCCAGCACATAGTAGGTGCTAAATTAAGGCGTGAACCATCCATCCACCCACCATCTGTTCTTCCACGTACTCCCCATCTTTCCTTCCGGTCATCCCCCACCCTATCCACGCATCTCATTCTTTTCTCCACCCCATCCTCCCCCATCCATCCTTCTATGCATCCTTTCATGCAGCCCAAAAAGCCCCTCAGCTGGGGACACCAAGGTAGATGCTGGAAGATACCCAGAAAGGCAGATGTGGGCAAGCAGGGGAGCCCATTTGGGGAGTGTTGGAAATGGGGCCGTGGAGGAGGCAGGCACTCAGACCTGGAGCCTGGTGCCCATGAAGGATAGGTGGGAGGGCTGTTCACCTTCTCTCCTGCGTGAATCTTCAGGGACACACCCTGCACAGCCAGTGGCAGCTCTGGTCGGTGTCTCAGCCCAAAGTCCCGGAACTCAATCTGTCCTCCACAAGGCCAGGGTGGCTGGGCTGCACAGTTGGGCAGCCTCCAGGGAGCCTGGGGCAGGGAGGGCACAAGTTAGAGGAACGGTCCTCCCAGGAAGCCCATGTCTCAGGGCTGCAGCCGCAGATGCTCCTTGCTGTGAAGCTTGGGTGTGCAGATTTAAATGAGAGAAGCCCAAACAGTGGATGTGTAAAGAACACGTCACATCTGGGTCACAAGGTCAGTGAGGTGCCTTTTATCTCTGCCACTGACCACTGCTTATTGTCCATGGGAAGCCCCCTTAGTAGGCAGCATTATGCAGGGTGGAGACCAACCTGCCACTTGCCCTGCTGTGACCTTGAAGTCCACCCCACCCCCCAGCCTCACCCTCCATCCTTCATTGCAACATCTCCCCAGCTCCTCCCGGCACACACCCAGTAGTGTTTTGTTGTTTTGAGACAGGGTCTCACTATGTAGCCCAGGTTTGCCCATAACTTGCTACATAGCCAAGGCTGGCTTCTAACTTGCTTGTAATCCAAGCCAGCCTCCAGTTCACATCTAGCCCAGCCTAGACTCAAATGCTCTCGGTAGCCCAGAATAGCCTCTCATTTGTTATGCAGTTCAGGCTAGACTCAAACTCACTGTGTAGCCAGGCTAATCTCCTACTTGCTACTGGCTTCTGTTTAATTTTTTTTTTTTTTCTGAGACGTGATCTTCCAGAACTTGCTAGTAGGCCAGGCTGGCCTCAGTCTCACAGAGATACACCTGCTAGTGCTAGGATTAAAAGCTAAGACTGACTTCTAATTTGATTTGTAGCTCAGTCTGGTTTCTAGCTCACTGCATAGTTCAGAGTAGCTTCAAACTTGCTACGAAGTCCAAGTTAGTCTCTAACTCACTACATGAACCAGGCTGACATCAAACTAGCAGCAATCCTCCTGCCTCAGCTTCCTGGGTGCCGGGGTTATAGGCACGAGCTACAGAACCCAGTTTAACCCCTGTGTCGTTCTTCATTGTTGCTCTGTCCTGTGAAGTTACTGCCTGTGTCGTTGTGGCTGATCTGTCTGTCCTTGCCCCATGTTGGTTATGACATCGTTCTAGCACCTGGTCTATGCCTGGGTTGCAGTCCTGTTCTGTGTTCCTGAGCATGGCTGCAGCAGTACTATCACTCTAAAGTCATCTGTACTCTGAGGGAACCGGCCTCCCATGCTCTTGACACTGCCTCTGTCCCCCATCACTTGGATGGGTTATATACCCTGCTCTGGCCAAAAGCAGGATTTAAACTTGTCCCCATTACTGTTGCTCTGGTTGTGACTCCAGCCCATAAAGATGGTGCTTCACGGGAGAGGACAGGGACAGACACTGCCAGCCCCGCCTTACCTCCTTGGGGGTGCGTGCGTAGTCCTGTACACGCTCCACAGCTACCATGCTGTTCTCCAGGTCCGTCCAGCTGCGGACCACCCACTGCAGTGTCTGTGTCACCTGGTGCAAGAAGACACCTTGCCTTGGCTCCCGCAGCTCACATCAACCCAGGTGAATGCCAGGGGAGGAAAAAAAGGAGGGGCCATGGGAACCGGGAACCCCAGGCCTTTCCTTCTGTGGCTTGCTCTGCCTAGAGAACTAACCACCCCCCTGTTAAATAAGCTGCAGCTTACAAAGCACTTAGAGGACCATCTCCTTCAGATGAGTGCTGCTTACAGGAGAAGGTGTGTGAACACAGAACATGACCCAATCTTGCATATTATTATCAATAGTTAACAACAAATGAACGCTGAGCCTGCTCTCTATGCCCTGCCTCAACTAGTCTAGAGGATGTCTGGATGGCAGAGTACTGGCCCATTTTTCATTTGGGCACACAGAGGCTCTTGAAGGGCTACTAGAGGTCAGACAAGGTCCCCTGAGAAATGCATTTCCCTTGTGCTGGACAGTGGGGACTTGGTGTCCTTGGATGTCCTCTGGGAGGGGTCCAACTGTCTCTGTTGTGCCCCACCTCCAGCCTGGGTAGAATACTGGGGTACCTGAAGGGCAGCAGAGACTGAGAAGCCCACGAGGCCAGCACTCAGACGAGCCTTGCTTAGGACTGCGCACGTGGTGGCAGCAAACACCAGGCCGTTCCCCAGGAGCTCCAGGTTGGCAGCCAGCCACCTGCAAAGGGAGGCGGGTCACAGTAGGGCCAGCAGGGGCCTTAGCAGTGGGGGACCTGCTTCTGCGGGTGTAAGAACTGGTTGAGGTATGGACATAACACCTGTGGGGGTTCCAGAGTGGGACCTAAGCTGGGGGGGCATTATTCTAATGTGTGGTGTCTAGCTCAGGGCCTGGCATATGGTTGGTGTTCCAGAGCTTTCTATTCTTGGGATGTGTCTCTTGCTGCCCCCTGGCCTAAACCTGGTCTCTTGGTCTTTTGGTCGGGGTCTCTCTCTGTCTCTGTCTCTCTCTGTCTCTGTCTCTCTCTCTCTCTCTCTCTCTCTCTCTCTCTCTCTCTCTCTCTCTCTCTCTCTCTCTCCTGACTGAGCTATCTCTCAGCCCTGCCCCACCTCCTCACATGGTCAACCTGTCATCTTCACACACAAGTCAGTTCTGACATCACCTCCTCCAGCAGCCTTCCCTGACTGTGCTTCTGCTTTCTGTCACACACACCGACCTCCTTCCCCATAGCTCTCTCTCTCTAGTGAATCTAATGTCACCATCTTTTGTCTCCATTAGAAGGTCCTGGGCTCCATGGGGACAGGGACCTTGTGGTCTCATTCCTGGCAGTAGTTCCAGTCCCTAGTTCAGGGCCCAACAAGTATGTGCTCAGCAAATACATTCTGAATGGCTGGGTGCAGTGGACCCGTCTCACCGAGTCCTGCCCAACCTTCTGTTCTTTCATTTGCTCACTCAACAGATACACAGTGGACATGCACTGGGCATGTACAAGATGCTGAGGGCCCAAACTGAACAGGACACCATCATTGCTCTCAGGGAGCCTCACACATGCTATATGGATGTCTAGTCCTACTGCAAGAAGAGGAAGTATTGTTCCCATTTGACAGTTATGGAAACTGATGCTCAGGACAGGGCAAAGTAGTGCTAGGCATCTGGCAAGCACTCCCTGTGAATATTTAATCCTTAAAGCCACTCTGAGTGTGACAGTAATTGGATACACAAGGCTCAGAGAGGTTGTGTGATTTGCCTAGGATCCATCAGTTTAGAAGTGGTGGAGCTGGGAATCAAATCCATGTCTTGCTCTTGTTTTGTCCCAAAAGGAGATTAAGGATGCTAATGCAGCTGCCTTGTCACCAAGGCAACAGAGGTCATATGGTTGCCTGGCAACAGGCTTCTTCCTGTACTTCCCACCCACTGGATGTTGGGAACCTCAGCCAGTTCTGAGTGCTGACCCTCAGCTTTGTCCCCAGGTTGCCATATGACCTTGGGCGGGCCCCTTGACCCCTCTAGTTACACACTATGGCCTCAAGAGGGTTCCAGGGTCTTCTCTGACCCCAGGCTCTTCCTACCTGTCAGCCACCAGTCTTGGGAAACTGACCCTCTGATTGGCATTCATGAGGGTGTCGTGCTGAGCCATGAAGGGGCCCTGGGCCCGGAAGGCCCTGATTACTGCGCTGCCCTGGAAGGTTTCTGCCATGTGGGAACACACAGATGAGTAGCTGGCAGACTCCAAGCGTCTCAACTGGCACGATGTGGCCACATAGAGGTTCTAAGGCCAAAGGGATGGAGACAGAAATGGAGACAGAGACATGTTGAGGGAGCTTCCAGAAACACAGGGAGTCTCAGGTACCAGGCTTTTCTGTCAGATTGCTGTGTAGCTTCTGGCCAGTTGCTTGCCTTCTCTGGGCTTCAATTTTAGGGGGATTAGTTGGCTGTCAAGCTCTACAGTAACCAGCAGGGCCTGAACTCAAAGCCTGACCCCAAAGCTCATGGTGGACATGACAGAGTCAAGTGACCAGGGAAGATCTCAGACAGCTGGGGATAGTGGCCACCACAGTTATTGATTAACAGTAGTGCTTTCACTCCTCTGCTTTCTGGAGTGCTGGGAAGGGGGCACTGTCAATCATGGGCCTCAATATACAGATGGCCACATGACCCAGCCTAGCTAATCAAAGCAGACTATCCCTTAGGTCCCTGTGATTGGGTACACAGGCACCTGATTCATCAAAGGCCAATCAGAAGTTTCTTCTAGGCTGGATACGTGAAAAGTTTACTTGGTATTGGGATGCTGAGGCTGGGCAACCACAGCAGAGGACGCTGAGGTCAGCACACTGGTCCCCTGTCAGAAGTGTGTGCAAAAGGAGGTATGCTAACTAAGGAGTGTATCAAAGATCCACGGGTATCAGAACTGCTCGGAGCTGGGCTACAGCCCATGCCTGGCTCTGCAGAGTTCCTGTGTAGCTCAGACTGGCCCGGGGCTCCCCATCTTCCTGCCTCTGCCTCCCAGGGTGCTGAGATGACAGAAGTGCGCAGGTCAAATCCTGATCTTTTGGCTAGGCCAGTTTCAATGGGTTTCTGGCCCAGGCTATGGAAAGGACTCACTTAGTTCAACACAATCCTGCACAGGCAGTGTGGGCTCAGCATGCTGACAGGAGAGGATGCTGCAGCATAGGGCAGGAAGTTAGAGATGCAGAACTCGGATGGGAGTGGCTGAGACAGAGACCTGCTATGCTAGACTGTGCCATCTGCCCTCTAGTGAGACCTCCGGTCCCTCCACCCAGGCCCAGCTGCAGACTCTCTCTCACTGAGCCCTGAAGAGGAAGGGGACTGGCCAAGGTGACCCTGGCTCTGAGCTCTCCATACCTGAAATGCTGTGTAGAGAAGACCAAGCGGCAGGATGACCACAATGGCCAGCGGTGTGGTCATGGTCACTGCCAAACCAACCTCCAGCAGCCCATAGGCATAGGTCAGCAGTGCCCGTAGTTTGTCCGGGATGTCCACGTCCACTGTGTCCATCTCCTTGGAGAAGCGGTTTAGTAGGTTCCCCACGGCTGTGCTCTCAAAGAAGCCGATGGGAGAGCGAGCTACGTCCCACACGAGCCTCTGGAAGAGCAGGCCAGATGCACGGACACCGCCCAGGAACACAGCAGCCATGGAGGCAAACAGCCCAACAGCTGCAGAGGTCAAAGAAGACCTCTTGTGGGCCAGGCAGGTCTCCCCAGCACCCCAGGGTAACCTCATATGACCTGACAGACCCACACCTAGGGGCGTGAATAGTGTCCCCCAAGCTTACACCCACCCCAGCCTCTGAATGCATCCTCATTTGGAAATAGGCTTTTGCAGATGCAAGGAAAGAATATTCTAGATTTAGGGCGGGGTCTACATCTGATCTTTGGTATCTAAGATCAAGAGACAGACAAGAAGTAGACGGGAAGACACAGAGACAGGAGTGATGAATCACAGCTAAGGGGGACCAGAAGCCACCCACAAGCCGGGAGACAGGCTGCGTGGAGAGGTGCAGCCAAAGACACATTGTCAGTCATGGTCCTTGACCTTAGAGCTGGTCACATGACCCAAAGGGGTAAACAGAACCTTTCCTGGATGGGATGAAGGCTGAGGTGGGACTGTGTGTTGGGGATGCTGAGGCAGCTACAATGCTCCTGGGTCTCCTTTCTCAGCTTCCTCCAGGAACCAGCCCACTGAAGATGGGGTTTAAGATGGCCCACTTCACTACTGTGGGAGAAAAAAATGCCTCTGATTCTAGAGACTATCAAGTTTGTGGCTATGTTTTATTTCCTTTGAGACAAGCTGTCTCATATAGCCCAGGGTGACCTCAAACTCACTTTGTAGCTGAGGATGGCCCTGATCCTCTTGCCTCTACCTCCCAAGTGCTGGTATTTCAAGTGTGCACCAGTATACCAGGCTAACCCTAGGAAGCTAACATGAAGTTGTACGCCACTCAAATGGAGTTCAACTTCATTCTGGGCATCGGCCAACTGACAGCTAGCTCACTCCAGTCTTGATAAAGTGAGCATCTGCCTTCAAGGGCTCTGCTTACCACAGCTATTGTGAGTAGGTTTACAAACTACAAGGGTCTTCAGTTTCAGGCCTAATGTGCCTATTTTACAGAGGAGGACATATACCATCTTGCTGATATGGACACAATCATGATGAATCGCACTGAAACTGCTTTTTATTTGCAGTGTTGGGGGCTGAACCCAGGGTCTCACATGTGCTGGGTGAGCATTTTACACTAAGCTATATCCTCAGTCCTCTTTTCACTTAAAAAGAAAATTGAATTTATCTATTTAGTATGTTGATAGAAAGGTGTATGTTGTGGGCATGTATACCGTGGCTGGCATGTGGAAGTTAGAGGACAACTTCCACATGACTGTGGGAGTCGGTTTTCTCCTTCCACCATGTGGGTCCCAGGCATAGAACTCAGGTCATCAGACACCTTCACCTGCTGAGCCATCACATCAGTCCCTCTTTACTTTTTACTTTGAGACTGGGTCTCATTGAGTTACCTTGGCTGGCTTGAACTTGCTGGTTTAACCTGGACATCCTACCTCAGCCTCCTGAGCTGGGGTTACAGAGTATGCCACCATGTCTAGGGAACTGAAATGACCTTTAGTGACGGTGGAGCCAAACCCCTATTTTTCCTTCATTATGGCCATGTTTGAAATGGAGACTGGAAGAGGGAGGAGAGGCTGTACAAGGGCAGAACAGGGATTCTCGTGGGGCCAGGACTGCTCTGCAGCCTGACTGTGGAGGTGGGGCATCACCATAAGCCATAAACTGGCACACGTGTGAGTGTCGACATGCAGGACTGGCCCAGGTCAACCTCACTGTTACATGATCCTGCATTGATGGCATTGTTGCATCACCCTGCAGCCTGGTGCTTTTGGGAGGACCTGGGCAGAAGGCACACAGGAGCTGCTTGCGTGGGAACCTACACTCTCTTCAGGAAGTATTTCAGTTGTTTTCGCAGAAACAGCTGGGTGTGGTGGCACACATTTGTAATCCCAGCATTTAAGAGGCCGAAGCCAGAGGATCTTAAGTTTGAGGCTAGCCTGGGCAAATGGAAAGACCCTGTCTAAATAAATAAATAAATAAATAAATAAATAAAAAGTTGGGCCAGTGTTGGACATGGTGGTGCCTGCTTTTAATCCCAGCACTGGGGAGGCAGTGGCAGAAGTAGGCAGATCTCTGTCAGTTTCAGGTTAGCCTGATCTATATTGCAAGTTCCAGGCCTGCCAGGGCTGTACAGTGAGAGCCTATCTCAAAAAAAAGAAAAAAAAAAAAGTTGGATTGGAAAGATAGCAGAGGTGCTTATCACTAAGTCTGATGATCTGAGTTCAATTCCTAGGACCTGCATGGTGGAAGAGAGAACCAGCTCTGGCAGGTTGTCCTCTGATTGCCACACATGTGATGTGGAGCACATGAATCCATCCATACGCAGAAAATAATGAATTATTGTAAAAATAAAAAGGTGACAAAAAATTAAAAAGGAAAAAATTGGAGGTGACAGAGGCAGTAGTGTGTGTGCTGGGGACAAGTGTAGCTGTGCCTGGAAATCTGGGGTGTGGATTGAGGTCACTAGCAGCTGTCCCTTGAGCTGCATCCACTGCCCTGTCCCTAGGTCCTCACTCCCTCCATCCACACCTTAAGGACACAGTGGCAGCCGATCCCAGGACATTCTGGGAAGACGATCAAGGACAGGAGGAGATGGGGTGGGAGGGCAGGGCTTGAGCAGCACTTAGCCTGGAAGCTGAGCAGTAGGGGGTGGTACCTTGGAGACAGCCGAGGAGCCCGAACACCCAGCCACGCAGGGCAGCATGTGCCTGCCGCCCGTCCACAACAGGGTCGTCTGCCCAAAGGCTCAGCCAATAGCCCTGGCAGAAGGAGGCCACTTGCTGGCAGAGGAAGAGGAAGAGGGTGTAGGTGCAGAGGGGCATGCCCACGGCCTGTACGTAGCTCAGGTATGTGGTGGCCTTCACCTTTAAGACATACAGTGGAGAGGGGGACAGAGAAGGGAACAGAGGAGGATGAGTTGGGCCTAGGCCAGGTCAGGCTCCCCAAAGCCACATCGGCAGTACCATCTCCCCTCCAGACCCCACTTCAGGATCCCTGTGCCAATGAACCCCTGATGGGTCATGGGAAGTCATAACTGGCAGGTGATTTGATGGGCAAATGGGGGATGCACACATGGGCTGGGAAGGATGAGTAGAGGCAAACAGACAACATTGAGGAAGAGGAAAGTGAGAGCACAGCATTCAGATTTGGGCTGACCTAGACTTGAGTGTTGGTCACAAGTGTCACTGCTTACAGGCCCTGGCTCCTTCGTCTTTAAAATGAGGCTATCAGCATTTAATTTTTCAGAGGGATTGTAAGGATTGAGGAAGGTATGCCAGCAAGATGGCTTCCTGAGGAAGAGTGCTTGCTGCCAAGGCTGATGACCTGAGCTTGACACGGGTCCTACATTGTGGAAGGAGAGAGCAAACTCTCTTGTAAGTTGTGATTTGACCTCCACACTCCAGTACTGGCACATGTGCTCCTCCGCCTCCTGCATACAAAATTTTTATTTTCTATTTTATTTCATTTTTAAAAATATTTTATTATTTTTATGTGTATGTGTGTACTGCCTGCATGTAAGTAAGTGCACCTATGTCGTGCAATGCCCGTGGAGGACAGAAGAGGCTGTTGGATCCCCTGGAACTGGAGTTACGGACAGTTGTTAGCTGCCATGTGGGTGTTGGGATTCGAACCTGGGTCTTCTGCAAGAACAGCCAGTGTTCTTAACTGTTGAGCCATCTCTCCAGCCCCCCAAATTTTTTAAATGTAAAGAGGAGGAGGATAAGGAGGAAGAAGAAAAGGGGGAGAAAGAGGAGGAAGAGGAAGAGGGGAGGAAACACAAAAATGTAGAATCTTTTGCAGGGGGGTCTTTTTGAGACAGGGTCTCCCTGTGGCTCCAGCTGTCCTGGAACTCACTGTGTAGACCAGGCTGGCCTCGAACTCACAGAGGTCCACCTGCCTCTGCCTCCCAAGTGCTGGGATTAAAGGCGTGCACCACCACACCCGGCTTTACAAAGGTGTAGAATCTCTTATTTGGCGCATAGTAGGTGCTCAGGAAAGGCGAGTGACCTCCCCAATGTGCTATATCTGATGTGAGGACACTGGGGCCCCAGGGAGCAGGAGCAACTGGTGGTTACCCGGCCATACCGCACACTGTCCTCTCCTACTGGCAATCCTGTCCCCTCAGGGTCATCTAGAGTCTCTGAAGTAGTGCTGTCCCTTACAGGGGCTGACTCGATGGACCTGGACCTGTCATTTAGGGGAAATCAGGACACATTAATGACTCTCCCATAGGACTGTGGTACCCCTTCAGGTGGTAACCACTGAGGTCTGAGGTATTTCCCCCCTATAACCCTTCATTTGTTCATTTAGGAAGGAGGGATGGATACATGGACATGTGGGTGCATGGATAGAAAGAACAATGGATGGATAGGATGGATGGATGGATGGATGGATGGATGACAGAAAGGATAGATGGACACATAGATGGATGGATAGAAAGGATGGATGAATGAGTGCCTGTTTGGTATCATGCTTTCCTCCAATGTGGTACCCAGCTACATGTCACCTGTCACTCTAGAGTCAAGCAAGCCTGTGCCCTGTGGCCATTTCATCAAATGAGCAGTTGTGAACTTGAAAATTGTCTTCTGAGTTTTCATTTTGGCCTAAGCATTGTTTTGCCCCTACTGTTTACCCTTAGATTCATGATTCGAGTTTGGCTGAATGTCAATTTTGAGAGTTTTAGATGCTGATGTTCCTGTCATCTGTGAATGAGTAGACTGACTTAGCTGTTCTGTGCCTCAGTTTCCCCAGCTATAAAATGGGGATAATCTATCATGTATTACCTATCTATTAGCTACTTATCATCTGTCAATCATTTATTACCTCTCATAAATCAGCCTTCCTTCCATCTAGCTATGCATCTATCTCTGTGTACATGAACTCTTCCCTCCCTCCCACCCTCTCTTCCATTAATCCTTCCTTCCATCTCCCCCCATGTCTACATATGTATATCTACTTAATCTCACTCAGGATCCTTAGCATGCCTGTGCCACTGAAGAGAGTTCTCAGGGTGGCCAGCTGGAACAGCAGAGGAGCTGTCCCCATCCTCAGCATCCTAAAGTCCAACATTCCTCAAGGTGCCCCTGTATGTTCCTCCACCTGGCACAAAAGCTCATCCTGCCTGGTACCTAGGTGGCCTGTTGTCAAACTTCAGGTCCATGGTGAATCCAGCTGTGCTCTGGCTGCAGGGGTCTGGGAGGGAAGGGAACAGTCATTTCCCTCTTGATGCATGAGTGTTCTAGCCACACTCAAACCTCCTGCCCAGCCTGCCCACTGTGTGGAGGATCGTTCCTGGAAGCCAGCCTGCTCTGGTTTGGCAACAACACAACTCTAACGACTGTCCCTAGCCCACAGAAGACACTTGTCTTGGAAATGACCAGTGGGGACTTAATCACTGTCAACTAACCGACAGATCATTTCGAGTGAATTATCCCTCACTGAGTGCATGGGGGGTATTCAGCAGGTATTCCATATGTGAGTTTGGCTGTTCCCTCCATGCCTGAGGGGCAGTGGCCACAAGCAGACCAGGCTTTGGCCTCAGTCTGGCCCACCCCTGCTCAGCACCAGTGAACCCACCTTTCTGGTCTGTGCTCAGACACCCCTCCTCCAAGACAGCCCCCAAGCTCATAGCTGCTGGCCTCTGGCTGTGTTCCTGCAAGGTAAAGGATATCAGTGAGGGTCTCACCAACCCTCCCCCTCGGGTCACCCAGGACCAGCATTCATTCATCTTCTTTCATTCATTCAAATACTGAGCACCTGTCATATACTTGGCGTTGGAAAAACAGCACTGAACATTGTACAAGGTCAAGTTACTCCTGCTTCCCCCAACACCTTTACTCAATCAGTTCCTTGTACCTAGAATGTTCTTTCCTAGGTAACTCACATGGAACCTCAGGGGCCAGCTCCCCCAAGAATAAACACCACACCTGCTGCTCCCCAGGCTGGGCCAGTAACCTAAAGCAGAAGTACAATAGTTTGGCCCAAGACGTGTGAACAACAAGCAACTGCTATTACAAACCATGGTGATATGGGGGATGTTTGTTATATAGCATTGTCACAGCAAAAGCTGACAAATACAAATGGGAAAATTCTGTACTTAGGGTCCTATCTCCAAGTTTCAGGACAGTGACACTGTGAGTTAGCAATTAGGGTTTTGTTATGTATGTGTGTTTGTGTGTACACGTGTGTATTTGTGTGGGGGGTACAAGTGTGTGTGTATGTGTATTTGTGTGTGCATACATGGAGAGGCTGGAGGACAAGCTCGTTTCATCTTTTTAAAATATTTTAATTATTTTTATTCTGTGCATGCGTGTATTGCTTACATGTATGTAAGTGCACCCATGTCGTGCATGCCTGTGGAGGACAGAAGAGACCATCGGATCCCCTGGAACTGAAGTTAGGGACAGTTGTTAGCTGCCATGTGGGTGCTGGGATTCAAGCCCAGGTCTTCTGCAAGAACAGCCAGTGCTCTTAATTGCTGAGCCACCTATCCAGTCCCTCAAGTGTCATCTTTAGGAATGCTGTCCACCTTGTTCTGTGAGTCGGGATCTCTTACTGGCCTGAAACTCACCAATTAGGCTAGGCTTGCTGGCCAGGGATCCCCAGGGATCCTTCTGTCTCTGCCTTCCCACAGAGCTGGGGTTACAAGCATGGCACAGACCACCATGCCCAGGTGCTAGGGATCGAACTTAGGTCCTTACACTTGCAAAGAAAGCACTTTACTGATTGAGCCATCTCCCCAGCCCAACACTAAGGGTTTTGATGAAAGTGGGCCAATGCCAAGCAGATGTTTGCAGAAGAGGCAGAGCCTGAGACTAAGGTAACCCCAGTGGGGCCTTGCCTTGCTGTGGAGGGCAGTGATAGACTGGCATTTCAAAAGCATGTTCTCTGGCACAGTCCAGCACAGCCACCAACAAGTTATAGATATACCCTTGGGCCATTCCATTAACTTCTTCAGTTTCTCATCTGTGAAATGGAGGCAATTAGCTTCCCAGCCCCACAGAGGCACTGCACTGTGCCAAGGTGAGCCCAGCATCTTAGCTGGTATATCTTTCTTCATGGGTAACATTACTTCTGGAAGCTGTTTACCCAGCAGACTCTGTTCTCTGGTGTACAGGACCCCTTTTGCACCAAATTCTCCCTGACTCCTCCTTGAAGCAGTTTTGAGCAGTGGTGCTGGAGGGGACACCACAAGTTCTACTGTGTCCATGGTCATCAGCCTCTGTTCGCTCATCTGTCCCTGGGTGGTCTGCCTCACAGAGCTCTTGTGAAGGTCAAACAGAATCACGGATGGTCAGGACTGCAGGGATGGCTCAGTCGGCAAAGTGTCTGTGGCACAAGCATGAGGACCGGAGTTTAATCCCCAAGATCCATGCAAAAACTGGTGTGATGGTGCACACCTGTAATGGCTGTGCTGGGGAGGCAGATGGGGGATGCAGATGGGGGAACCCCCGGGGCTCACTGACCAGCCAGCCTGGAATGGGCTGCAGTGAGGGTTGCTGTCTCAGGAAACAAGGTGGATGGCTCTGGAATGGAAAATGACAGCTGGCAGTGATGTCTGGCCTGAGAGAGAGTGAGAGAAAGAGAGGGAGAGAGAAAGAGAGAGAGAGAGAGAGAGAGAGAGAGAGAAGAGGAGAGGAGAGAGAGAGGAGAGGAGAGAGAGAGGACAGCAAGAGAGAGATTGATTCTGGCTGTATGATCAGAGACACTGTGAGCCCCAGGTGTTATCTTGGCTCTTTGTGGGAAGGGGAGACCTCCTGCAAGTGGCCATCATGGTGGGTATGGTGAGGGCTGGTGGACCTCAGGGGGAAATGGTCAGTGTACTGCATCTGTTTCAGTGGGACCCTTGGAGCCTTCTCCCAGAGGACAGCAGGAGCTAGGCAGAGGCTCGGTAACCCCCAGTCAGTACCTCCTTCTCCTCCACCTGCTGGCTGTCTGGCTCTATCAAGAAGACCCACCAGGGCCCCATTCCTGTGCAGAAGCTCCTGGTAGGAACCCATCTCTGCGATGGCCCCATCAGCCAGCACCAGGATCTTGTCGGCCTGGGGCAGGACGTGCAGAGCATGGGTCACAAGGATCCGAGTCTGGACAGGGAAGGGGTTAAAGTTACACAGGCATGCTGGTTTGGTGTTCCGAAGCTCAGGGTGGGGCTGGAGCAGTGTCCCCAGGGCAGAGAGGGGAGAACTCCTGTCCTGTGTCTCTTCTGCCCTCTATACAGAGAGTATCATATCCAGAGAGAAAAGCAGGGATGACTTCTTCTGTGGGTGGCTCAAAATGAGGTGCAGTTTATCTAAACTTGCCCCCAGCCCAAGCAGAACTGTGCAGAGCTCCTTGCTTACAACGGGGTCACTGTGGGGTGACCTGAGATCACTGTGAGTTGAAAATATCACAAATGGAAATGCACTAATTTTTTTTTTTCGGAGACAGGGTCTCATGTAGCTCATGCTGGCCTCAAACTCGCTATGTAACCAAGGATGACCCTGAACTTCTCTCCGCCTACCTCCACCTCCCCAGAGCTGGGATGACAAGGTACATACTACCACACTCAGTTTATGAGGTGCTGGGGGCAGACCCCAGGGCCTTGTACATGGTAGGCAAGAACTCTACCACTGGGCTCTACCCCCAGCCTGGAATACAATCAGTACATTAACATACTGAACACCAAAGTTCAGCCACACAGTACTGCTTAGTGCTTGGTAGGGCTTAAAATTGAATGGCTACAGAGCTACAGTTCACTGCCATGCCCCAGTATCATAAGAAAATACCAGATGAAAGCTCACAATGCACATATTAAAAAAAAAACTAAATGTGTATCACTTTTATGCCATCATATAGTTGAGATATTATAAGTAACTTAACCATAGGCCCCATAAGCAAGAAATAAGTGTAAGCCACTGAGATTTAGGGGAAGGGTGGTGAGGCAATCCTGGTTAGGACTGGATTCTCAGGGCTTCCTGATTGTCTGTGACATGAACTTACCGTGTTCTGGAGCAGCCCACTGGGCCCAATGACCTGGTTGAAGACCTGCTGACTGACATGGGCATCCAGGGCTGCCAGGGGGTCATCCAGCAGGTACACAGCAGCTTTTTGGTATACAGCCCGGGCCAAGCTTAGCCGCTGCTTCTGGCCCCCAGAGAGATTCATGCCCTGGAGACCCAGAGAGGGACAGGGACTCAAATTCACATCACTGAGTGACATGAGAATGACTGGATGGTGTGGGTAAAGGGCAAGGGGCCACTCATGGTCCCTGTCCTTGGGTTACACAGGACTCTAAACACTAAGCCAGTACCCCTGCTGGCTTTTACTCATAGTTCCTCCCTCCCCTGGTCTAGCTCTACCTGGTATTTCTTCCCTTTCCTCAGTTGGCTCCATGTTCACTGGGGACACTAGTCACCCCCTGTTATCTCATCCAGTGCTAGATTTTCATTCATTCATTCATTCATTCATTCATTCATCTAATGCTCATCCCATGGCTGCTTGCATCTTGGGATGTACTAGGCTCTGGGGATCCATCACGTCCCTGCCCTCCTGACTCTTTCATCTAACAGGTATGTACCAAGCAAGATGACCAGGGCAGACCTGTCCTTGAAGGTGACAGAAGGAAGGGACAAGCCATGTGGGCTCCTGGGGAACAGATTTCCAGCAGAGAGGAGCAGGTGCAAAGGCCCTGGATAGGGGTATGCTTTGTGTATTCAGTATTCAGTGAGAATGCTGGGGTTCCTGTGGCTGGAGAGAGCAGGAGGTGGGGGGTAAAACAGGAGACAAGGCAGAGAGAAATGGGGCCATGTGGGGGCTTTTGGGGAAATGGTCAAGGCTTTGGATCTGACTCTGGGGGACGTGGGAGACTCTGGAGAGTTCTGAGATGAGCAATGGAGTGACCTGTTCTGTGTTTGCACAGAGCTCTCTGGCTGGTGGACTGGGATGAGTCTAAAGGAGATGGGGGTGAAAATGAGGGTCAGAACTAGGTGTGGATGCACTCAGGAAGCTGAGGCAGGAGGATCACAAGCTCCAGACCCTGTCAACAAACAAACAAACAAACAACAAAAACCCAACAAGGGCCTGAAGCTCAGAGGTGAAGCAGTTGCTTAAGCATTTGCAAAGCCCTGGGTTTGGTCTCTAGCTTGAGTTCCCAGTTCTCTAATCCAGAGGTCAGCCAATACTTCCTGGGATGGGCCAGAGAGTAACTATTGTAAGCTTTGAGGGCCATATGATGTTTGTCCCAGCTGCCCATCTCTGACCTCTGAGTACAAAAGCAGTTGCAGACCACAAGTCAATGAGTAGAAATGGCTGTGTCCCAATAAAACTTTATTTACAAAAAAAAAAAAAAAATAGTGGACTGGATTTGACCTGACTTGCATGCATAGTTTTTCCAACCCTGTCTGTTCTATATCTTCAGATGCCTGTGTCCTGTGCGCTACCATCTCTGCTCAGATCCTTTGATGAGGCCCAGAGAAGTGAAGCAATTTAACTAAGATCACCCAGCAGGGCAGGGCAGGACAGAATAGGGCAGGCTGCACAGAAAATTGTTGGTCTCACTCTTAGCTGAGACAGAGCCTTTCATTTCCCCACCACATTTCTCAGTTTTTAATCAGTTTCTCCCAACAACTACTAAATACCTGCTGTATGCCTGGCCCTGAGCTGGGGGCTTCTCTCTGTGTCCCCTTCTGTTCCCCAGGTGCAATGGCTCCCTTCCTGAAGTCCCAAGCTCCTCACCTGCTCCCCAATCGGGGTATGAACTCCTTCAGGGAAGCTGGCCACATCTGGCCCTAGGGCACAGGCATCTAGAACGTTCTGCAGCCAGGACAGGTCCAGCTCCTGCCTGAAGCACACATTCTTGACCACAGAGGTGTTCTGGACCCAGGCCTCTTGGGGCACATAGGCCACTGGACCCTGAAACATGCCTCACTGTTGGTAACAGGTAACTGCAGAGTAGGGAAGCCAGCTCAGAAGGTAGGGGTGGAGACAGTGAACAGCCAGGAAGCTGAGGAGATGTGAAGAATCTGTAAAGACATCTTAGCAGCAGGGGCAGGGGGGCAGGGAGGAAGGGGGTGGCCTTACCTCAATGCTCACAGACCCTTCCACCTTCAACAGCTCCCCAAGGAGTGCAGACAGCAGGGAGGACTTCCCAGCCCCAACTGGACCCACAACAGCCAGCAGACAGCCCTGGGGCACGCTGAGGTCTATCCTGACAACCCAAAGGGAAACCAACCTGGTGAAGGCCCAGCGTGGGCCTGTGGAAAAGTGGGGATCCCCAGACAGCCACTCCTTTCTCCTGGTCGCTGCTTGGGGAAGCCACTGAGAGGATGTGCAGGCTGTCTTCCCTCTCTTGGGCTTTGTCTGGCTTTCTGGCAGCCTTCCCTCCCACATCCATGACCACACACAGACACAGACACAGATACAGACACACACACACACACACACACACACACACACACACACACACAGACTCCCATGCACACATACATGTACAGATATACACACACAGACATACACATACACGTGCACACCCATGCATATATACACACATGTCACACACATACAGACACATGCAGGCACACGAACACCACATACACACACTACAATCACAGACACACACATATATATACACATATATGCAGATACACACCAGACACCATACCCACACACAGACACACAGACACACACAACACACATGCACATATACCACACATGCATGTGCACACATAGCCACACACACACATACCCGTTTCACACAGCACTCACAGGTGTGCCACATTCATAAGTGTACACACAGACATGTGCACAGCCAATATGCAGATACAGGTGCATGTACATGCTCACATGTGCAGCTGTCCAACTCTAATCCTTCCCAGCTGCAACTTTCAGTTTCCCAGAAGGGCAAAGAAAAAGTCCTGGTGAACACGAGACACCAGCCACACGGGTCTCCTCAATGTTTCTCTCGGGCCAGTGGATCTCAACAGGGATGACCTTGTCCCATGGGTGGGTCATTTGGTACCATCTAGAGATGATTTTTACCACACGACTGATTGGGGTGGGGTACAGCTGGCATTCAGTTCTCTAAACACCCTACAGTGCACAGGACACCCCGCAGTGAGGAATTCTTGGCCCCAAACATCAACTGGGCTAAGACAGAGAACCTGGGCATGCTCCTGCCTCAGGGCCTTTACTCCTGCTCTTCCCTCTGCTTCTTCTCGCTCACCCTGGGGGGGGGCGCACACTCCTCTTTGTTCTGCTCTCCCCATGACTGGAATCAACCTTCCTTCTCAGTTACATCTTGGTCTTTGTCACTTGCCCTAGTTTCCCATTTGTGTCCCACACCCGATGTTCCCCAAGAAAACAGAGGCCGGGTGTTCTTCCTTCACTTCATTCTGTCCCAGAATCCAGACCAGAGCCGGGGCCTAGCAGATGCTCAATAAACAATACAGAGTATAGGGATGGGAACCCACAGAACCTCCCGTGTAGATGGGGACCCACAGAAACCTCCCGTGTGGATGGAGACCCACAGAAACCTCCCGTGTCCCGTGTGGATGGAGACCCACAGAAACTTCCCGTGTGGATGGAGACCCACAGAAACCTCCCGTGTGGATGGAGACCCACAGAAACCTCCCGTGTGGATAGGGACCCACAGAAACCTCCCGTGTGGATGGGGACCCACAGAAACCTCCCGTGTGGATGGGGACCCACAGAAACCTCCCATGTGGATGGAGACCCACAAAAATGATTGGTGGTTCCTTACCCCTCTTGGAAAGTTTTGAGGCTGGCTAGGACTTTGGGCCTTAGAGATGGGGGCTGGGGTGACAATGACCTTAGATTGACATAAGAGGCACAGAAAGGGGACACTGCTGAGGAGGCTGGGCCTTGAGGCTCTTTCTCTTGACCAGGAGACTCAGGTACTCTGTGCCCCTCCCAACAGGCCTCTTACTTGCCAAAGATCTCAGACAGCCAAAACCACCCTTCAGCCCCAGGTGGGACACCCAGTACCCCAGTGTAGCTGAGACCACCCTCTAGCCCCGGGCAAGACTGCACTGTTCTTAGAAGCCCCAAACCTCTTCTCCATAGGTGGAGGCAGCTCCTGGGAGTTCCATACCTGTTCAGGCAGGGTGGGCTCTCTCGGGACCAAGTGAAGGTGCCATTGTGTACAGCAATTTGATCCTTCTTTGTGGCTGCAGGACACAGGACAGTTACAGGGGCTGATCCTGCCCTCCTGGCATACTTGTTTTCAAGACCCCACCAGGCCCTCTGGTCCCTGAAGGCAACAGGTTTCAACAAGGAGCCCCATAAGGCCTGCTGACTTGGGGTGACCCATAGTGCTATAATTCAGGAGCGAGGGATTCACAGCAGGGGGTCAATTCCTGCCTACTCTCCGTTTTTATAAAGTTTGAACTTGGCATGGTAGCACATATGTGTAGTCCCAGCACATAGGAGGTTGAAGGCCAGGCAGGGCTACAGAGTGAGTGTGAGGCTAGCTGGGACTACATAATGAAACCTTGTCTCAAAAAATAAAACAACTAGGGGACTAGAGAGATGACTCAGTGGTTAAGAGTACTGGCTGCTCTTCCAGAGGACCTGGGTTTAATTTCCAGCACCCACATGGAAGCTAACAACCGTCTGCCCTCTTTGGACTTCTGTAGGCAGGGCATGACATGGGTGCCCTTACATACATGCAGGCAATATACTTATACACATTAATAAAAAATAATAAATAAATATTTAAAAATCAACTGCCAGATGTGGTGGCACAAACCTTTAATCCTAGCACTCGGGAAGCAGAAGCAGGCAGATTTCTGTGAGATCAAGGCCAGCCTGGTCTACTTAGCGAGTTCTAGGCCAACTGAGGCTATAGGGAGACCCTGTCTCAAAAAACAAACAACAAAAACTCATAAAAGACACAAAACAAAATAATAAATAAACAAAACACGACAAAAACCTGACAGTAAATTAATTAAAATAAATCAGTAAATGAAGCCAGCCCAGTATGGTGATATGTGCCTATAATTTTAGTATTTTTGGAGGTGAAGACAGGAAGATCAGGATTTCAAGTCCAGCCCTGGCTACATAGTGAGTTCAAGGTCAGTCTGGGCTACATGAGACCCTGTCTCAAAAAACCAAAAGAATAGCCGGGTGTGGTCGTCTGTGCCATGAGAGACTGTCTCACAAAAAAAAAAAAAAATAGGGGTGTGTGGGCGCTGGAGAGAGAGAGAGAGAGAGAGAGAGAGAGAGAGAGAGAGAGAGAGAGAGAGAGAGAGAGAGAATAAACAAAATACATTAACTTTGCAGGTGTTCTAAGGCAGTACTTAAACTCATGAGGCCCTTGAGACAACCAGCAGGTCCTGGGATCCTGTCCACAGGCGCTGAGGCTTTTAAAGGCATGCCATGGTCACCCAGCTAGTCAGAGTGAGAGTTGGGATGTGTTCCCAAGTGGGGACATCCAGCCTCAGGGTAGGGTGTTAATCACTATGTGGGTATTTTCTAGATAAGCAGGTTGACCAGAGGTCTCAGTAACAATAAATGGGTGGGGGGCCAGGCTGCACCCTTTGTCCCCCACAGCAGTTAATGTCAGTGAACCCATAGGCAGAGGGTGAAAGTGGTAGGACTGAGTTGGGGAGTGGGCTACCCAGAGCGTGGCGAGTCTCCACAGTGACACCTGTCCTGGTCTCATCTGACTCTAGCTCAGCAATGTCCCCATGACTCTCTTCCTGGACTTCCAGGAGCACCCATGGCATCCCACAGGGCACCGCCAGCTGTTGAACAACCCACAGCAGCAGCTCTGCGATGCCTGGTTCCCAGTGACTGGGCTGATGGTGAGATCTGCATATGCGGTCATCATCCCCCATTCACTCTCCTGCCCATCTCAGCACTCACAGCATCCAGAGGGACTTGAGTCCACACCACTGGGGTCCACTTCTTCCAGACACAGGAAGGCAGTCAGACGGTCAAAGGACACTCGAGCCTGGGGACACAAAAGCTGGGGGGTCACCAGGCTGGACGAGCAACAAGCTTGAGTTCTAGGTGGGTGTCTGGAGATGCCTGGGGGCAGATTCCTGAAGCCTCAGACTGGCCCCTCTTCACTTTGCATTTGCTAGGGGTTGGAACATAGCTTTGTAGGTCCTGGAAAACAATGACCTTGAGAGAGGTGGAGTAGAGACCTCTCTCTGCTCCCTCATCCTAAATGAGAGAAACTGGAACAAACCAGCTGCCTCCAGCTAAGACCTGGGAAGAGGGCAGCACTTTGCCAACAGCTCCGAGTGACCATGTGGAGGAACTTCTAACTCTATCCTTTGGGGGGCACCCTCTTAGTGGCCATTGCACAACCATTGGTGACTGGAGGTGGCCACTAAAATACAGGTGTCTCAAGGCTGAGGAGATGGCTCAGTGGTAAAGTGCTTGCTGTACAAGCAGGAGACCTGAGTTCAGATCCCCAGCACCCATGGCAGAGCCAGGCATGGCAGTTCATGTCTGTAATCCCAGCACTTGGGAAGTGGAGACAGGTGGATCCCTGGAGCTCTCTGGCCAGCCAGACTAGCCAAATGGTACAGTTCTGGGCTCAATGAGAGACTGCTCCGAAAATAAGGTGGGCTGGAGGGAAAATAACACTAAGGATATTTGGAAAAGCCGTATGGAAACCTATTTTAGAAGCGAGTGTGTGTGTGTGTGTGTGTGTGTGTGTGTGTGTGCATGTGTGTGTGTGTGTTCATACAAAAGAATTTAGTTGGCATTAACACAAGGGATAATGCTCCCCCCAGAAGCCATAGGTTGCCAAATAAAAAGCCCAGTGCCAGGTGTAAGATACCTTCCCTCAAGTTGTTGGCCAGGGGTATCCCAGAGATTTTCCCCAAAACAATACAGACTATTGTCACTGCTCTTGGTTTCCCAGGAGAACTTGATGGTAAGACTCTATTACCAAAGACAGCACATACTCCAGTCACAGGACATGGAGAAATCAAGTTGGTGCTGACTGGGAAGCTTCCTCTATGCTGGCTAGTTTACACAGTCTGGGGAAGTGCTATGTAGGCTACTGGTGGGAGAAAAGTCACCAACAATCTTACCCAGCTGTGAACCCTGTGGGCTACAACAACAACCAGCATGGCAAGCTATGTCCGTGGGTGCAACATGGCAAGAATGTTATTGAGGTAACCAATTGCTTTCTGATTGGATTTGAGCCCTACTCTATAGGAAGAAACTCATACATGATACTGAAAATCTGACCAAGAACCCATGTGTGCTGCATAGTGATGTATTTAGTGTCAACTTGAGACACCTGGGTTGAAGGCACCTCAACTGGGGGAATTGCCTCCATTGGACTGGCCTGAGGCCATATCTGTGGGGGAATTTTCTTCATTGTTGAGTGATGTGGGAGGGGGCCCAACCCACTGATGGTGGTGCCATCCCTGGGCAGGTGGGCCTATGTTGTATAAGAAAGCAGGTTGAGTATGGGCCAGGGGAACAAGCCAGTAAGCAGCATTCCTCCATGGCCTGTGTTTCAGCTCCTGCCTCTAGTTTCCTGCCCCTGAGTTCCTACCTTGGGCTCCCTGATGAACTGTGACCCAGGAGATATAAGACAAATAAACCCTTTCCTCCCCAAGTTAGTAGTGGTCAGGGTGTTTTGTCACAGCAATGGAGAGACAAACTAGAACACCACGGCTGGAGAGCTCAAAAGCTCCAGGAGTGAATTTAATATTATTATTTTGCTAAATGGACACAGTATTAAATTTCCCTCTCAGTTTGTATCTTTCTACCTATAGATTAGTGCAGCTCTCAGACCTCATCAGAGAAATTTATTTGTACAGTGGATGGTGATTAATGCAGAAACTTACAACTAGTCAAAGTGCAGAGAATAAGTGTCTATAGAGTGCTCATCCATAAGTGGGGAACCTATATTACATCCCCTTACCTCAGGGATCATCTCAGAAGAGGGGGCAGAAAGATTTTAAGAAGCAGAGTCTGGTCAGGGAGGACCAGAGCAAACAGTATCTTCTGGTCATGACAGGGCCACTGCACTCATGAACTCAGAGCAGCCATAGTTGGCTGCCTGCATAAGACCTGCACAAGATCAAGTCAGCCAATATTCCAACAGGAAGTGGGGAGGGGCTCACAAGAGCCCCATCCATAGCTGAGGAGCTGATGGCTTCTGGGGGAGGGAAAGTCAGTTTTCTTTAAGAGTTGGCCCCTGGTAGGTGGACCAGGCTCCAGAGGTTGGCCCCAAACCTGAGTATATGGGCAGCATAAATTGGACTCTGTGGGATATCAAAAAAAGAGAGATGGGTCTAGAGAGATGGCTCAGGGGTTAAGAGCTCTTACTGCTCTTGCAGAGGACCCAGGGTCAGTTCCCAGCACCTACAAGGCAACTAACAGTCCCTAACTCCAGTTCTAGAGGATCAAACACCCTCTTCTGGATTCCGCAGGCATTGCATGACACATGTGCATTTACATTTACATACATGTAAGCAAAACACTCATTCACATAAAATAATTTTTTTTTTAAAAAAGAGCGAGATCACAAAGTTGGAAGAGAGCTGGGGGGGATCTGGGAGGAGTTGGGGGAAGAATGGGAGTGAGTATAATCAAAACACATTGTATGAAATTCTCAAAGAATTTCTAAAAATATATCAAACAATAAGGTGGAGAGTGATAGAGGAAGGCATATCACTGAACTTTGACCTCCACGTGCACACACATACACACAGGAGGAGGAAGAAGAGGAGGAAGAGGATGAAGAGGTGGAGGAGGAAGAGAGAGGAGGCGGACAGCAGCGGCAGGCAGCTCAGTTATGCAACCTTCCTCATTTTTATGCCCCAGGATATGTGATGGGAAAGGACTGGAGACAGAAAAGGCAGAGAAATAAAAGGCCTTGTTCAAGAAGGGGACCCACGACGAGTCCCTGCATGTAGAAGTGATGCATCTTCTGGGGATGCTTGCTCAGGTCTCCCTGAACCCTCTAGACCACTTCCAATGATATCTTGCTCTACTCTAGGCAGTGTTTCTCCACCCCCTCCCACCATATGCCGACAGTGGTCTGGGACATGAATAGTCCAGCCCCAGCCCCCTGAGATCTCCTAAGCCAGCCTCCGCCCCTCCTAGCGCCTCACCTGAACAATGCTGTGTATTGAGAAGGGCAAGAAGGCTTGGGCTTTGTTCAGGATGCCGAGCACCGTGAGGGTCACAAAGGCCTTCTCTGCATCCATGGCATTGTCCTCAGCCACCAAGGTGTGGACAGCAAACACAACCAGCGCCACCTGGCAAGGTACAACCATGGCACTGAGACTGCTGTCTGTGGCTAAGAAGCCCACTGAGGTGTCTCCCAGGACATCCCTCAGCCCCACCTCTGCAGAGAGGCCAGAGTGACAGTACCAGAAACGTGGACACTTGGAAGGACACAAGAGACACTGAGAAGAGCAGGGTGGAGGTCCTCAGGGTGTCCAGCTCCTGGCCCCGGATGTCCAGGAGTCTCTCCAGGAAGGCCTGCTCCCAGCCGTGGGATTTGATGGTTCTCACAGTTCTGAGGATGGAGCTGGTGAGTTGTGCCCGGGATGCCTTCTGCCTCATTTGCTCTTCCTGGATGAAAAAGAAAGAGGAGAAGGACCAGCCTGGAACTGCCATCCCCTATAGCCTCTGTGGCTACCCTTAGCAAGCTCTGCAGATCTATCTCCAATCCCCACCCCATCAGAGCATCTCTGCCTGGGTCCTGGGCCCAGCTTCTCTCATCCTGGGCCTTCATCAGCCCTCTCAACCCCTGCACTTGCTTTTGCTGAGCCTATTGGAAGGCCCTGGAGGAAGCAGTTGCCAACACATCTGCAGACCCAACCTGGGTGTGGAGGTGTATCCAGCAAGGTTTCCTGGAGGCGAGGGTACAGCCTGCACTACGTCTTAAATGAGGAGGACAAGGAGGGAGTAGATGCCCTATGCACAGAGAATGGGTGAATGGAGACAAGAGAGAGCCACCTTCAGAAAGGGGACAGGTGTCTCAATGGACATCCAGGGAGTCCACAGGAAAGGGAGACAGCCAGCCAGAGTTCAGGTGGAGAGCAATACTGTCACTGTCAACATCTGAGGGTCAGATAGAAGTGTTTGGGGTTCTCTTCAGGGGTAGTTGATGAATGATTTTGAGAAGGTCACCCAGGAGGCCTGAGAAGCCCAGGTGGAGGGGGTGGATGGTGGGGAAGAGGGGCAGGACATTCATCCCTCCTTCTTCCTGAAATTTATCAATATTTCTTTCCTTCTTTCCTTTCCTCCCATCCCCTCTCGCCCCTCCCCTCCCCTCTATCACACCAGGCTTACAGTGGCTTTGTTTTTTTTGAGACAGGATCTCACTATGTAGCTCTGGCTGGCCTGGAACTCTCTAAATAGACCAGGCTGGCCTCCAGCTCACAGAGGTCCACCTCCTCTGCCTCCAGAGTTTTAGGATTAAAGGCATCTATCACCATGCCTAGCTAGAGGACACTTTATAAAACATTTATATTGTGTGTATATTGGGAAGTGGGGTGTGCATGCCACAGGGTGCGTGTGGAAATCAGAGGACAACCTATGGAAGTTGGTTTTCTCCTTCTGTGTGTGTCCTGGGATTGAACTCAGGTTGTCAGGCTTGGCAGCAGGTGACTTAACCCACTGAGCCATCCCACCAGCCCTCATGGAGCATTATGTATCACGCACTACCCCAAATGTTGAGTTAGTCCTTGCTTCTGGGAAGCTTTTAGTCTGATGAGATCCTGGCTATGAGTTATACACTAAGGAAGCACTAGAGAAAGAGAAAGAGCTCAGGCGAAGGAGACTCTGCCTCTAAGTCTGGGCATGGTGCTGTTAAGACCTGAGTGGCAAGGGGAAGGGGGGGAAATGGGCCATCTGCAGGCAAGGGGAACCCGAAGAGGCAAAGGCACGGAGGTGGGGACATCTGCTGGTTGAGGTCTGGGAGGCTTAGGGAGCAGAGAGAGTGAGGAACAGAGGAAGGAGGGGAGACCTGGTGACAGTAGGCCATGGTGGGGTCTCTGGCTTTGACACTGAGTGAGATGAGCAGAGCAGAGCAGAGAGTGGTTCCTGGTGTCACATGTCCCATTTTGACTGCTGAATGGGGGTGGGGGAGGGGCAGGAGTAAGCAAGGGAGGGGTGGCAGGAGCCATCCAGGTGAGAGACAGCAGCTTGGGGCCCCCACAGGAAGGGCCACATTCTGAAGTGGTGGGGGCTTGTCCAGGGACATGGGTCTGGGTAGTCACACCACAGCAATGGCAAAGCCAGGACAACATCCTCTGTTTGCCTCTCCCTTCCTGTCTCTGTCACCAGCCAGGGAGGCTGGGAATTGTTCCTCTCCTGACCAGCATGTTCCCATTCCCAAACACCAAACCTGATGGTGGCTCCGCTTCTTAGTAATGAAGAAATTCAGAGGAAGGAGGCTCAGGAAGACAGCAATGGCTGTGAGGGCTGAGGGTCCAAGGAGCTGGGGACAGAGGATAGGGTGTCATGAGTCCCAGTGGCTTGGACATGTATGAGTCCTAAGGCAAGAGGATGTCAGACACAAGGGCAGTCAAAGTCTCAGAGGTCAGGACCTGTAGGGCTCTCCAGAGGAGATGCCTGCTGGAAACAGGTCTTTTGCACGTATGTATGTGTGTCTGTCTGTATCTGTGTATGTGTGTTGGGGGAGCACCTCACAGCAGGAATGTCACACTCAAGTCAGACTATGCAGTAGCCAGCTGGCAAGAGGGCATTCCTGTCCAGCCAGAATGGTTCAGAAGACAGGAATGGAAACCTAAGTTCAAATCCTGGCTCTGACCCTTGTGAGGCTGGCCCTGGGGAATCCATGACACCATAAAGCTATGCCCTCCTCAGGTTATTGAGTTGTCTTCATTGCCTATCATGGTTCTTGGTGTGTGTGTGTGTGTGTGTGTGTGTGTGTGTGTGTGTGTGTAGACTAGAAGCTGTCATCAGGTGTCTTCCTCAACAGTTCTCCAGCTTATTTTTTGAGACAGGGTCTTTCATTGAAACTTGGAGCTGGCCAGTTTAGCCAGGCTGGCTGGTCATGGAGCTCCAGGGATCCTTCTGTCCCCATCTCCCCAGAGCTGGGAATATGGGTTCATGCCACTGTGTCCAGCTATCTACATAGTTTCTGGGGCTCTGAACTCGGATCCTTATGCTTGAACAGTAAGCACTTTGATGACCCACCCCAATCCTGTTCTTTTTAAAGTTTTATTATTAGTGTGTGTGCGTGTGTGTATATGTGTGTGCATGAGTATGCATGTATGTGCATGAGCATATGTGATGTGGTATAGGAATAACTTTTAATGACTTTTACAATGTGGACATTGTCTGGACTAAAGACTTACCTAACCTTGCAACCAAAAAGTTACTGTTATCATATAAACAAGTTCACTGAGCCACGTGCTCTTCTTGTGACCTGAGCATATGACCTTAATCCCTCAGGATCCCTCTTTGCCCTCCACCCAAAATAGTGAATGGATGTAGATCTAAATGCTTTACATATCAAGGCACTGAAAGCAACATGGTTTCTCATTGCAAACAGTAAGAGAAATCTGTTGGCTGATGTGTGTGATATTCTAGGCCTAGGGATGAAGGGGCAAGATTCTCTGATTGGATAAGGGTGGGTCCTGACTTCTACTTCCCTATCATGCTGGAGATCCTAATAAAAGAATGAGTGAGGCCTTGCTGGGCAGCACAGTTCCCAAAGACACCTGGACGGGTGCTTGGCAGTTTGGGTCCATGCTTGGCTTTATGAATGCTAAGAGTCATCCTGTGTCTTTATTAAGACTTAACTGTAATGTGGCTTAGTAATGCCACATTGGGGTATCTCATGTAAGGAAGAGACTCTCCATTCCTGAGGAAAAAGGGAAATATAGGACATCCCAGTGATACACTGTTAGGTTGTATGACATTAAGTGCAAAGCTTCCCTGATATCTTGTACCAGAACACTAAATCATGGATCAGCACGTGAAGAAATTCCAAGAAAAAGGGAATTATTGGATGTACCCTCTAATGGAAATATCATTATAGGAGAGAACATACTTATTTTTCAGATTGTCTGCCTCCATTTACAGACACAAGCTAACTAATTGTGGGTCTAAGCTTTCAAGCATCTGGTCACCCCAAATATGGGAAAAACTTAAATTAGATAATATTAAAGGCAGATACTTTTGTTGGCTTGATTCTCCTTGACCATGAGTACTAACAGCCACATATTCATGATCTTATAAAATTTAAAGATGTTAGAGAGTGACCCTTCAAAATCAAGCGCTCTGACTTTTTCCACTTCCCATTCCCAATGCAAGATCTAGTAGATTCAATTTTACAGAGAAAAGTCTTTTTAAAAAACACATATTGGTAAATAGTCAAGTGCTATTTGAACTCACTGAGAAGCTGGCTCTGGGATTTGCCCTCCCACTTCAGACCAAAGTCTGAAAATGTCCTCCAAAACTCCTGAGACAGGCTGGACCCCTGACTTGTGGACCAAGAAGGGGACCATAAAATAGCTCTATCATAGAGGCATTACCCTACCCCCTGGAGAACAGTTAAGGGATAAAACATTCCCAACAGAATGTCCTATTATTTCTTTCATGATATAAAGATGTTTATAGTAAAAACAGCTTAAGGAATACTCTATTTTGCCACTAACAATGTACTTGAGTGAAAACCTTCCACTGAAGTTTCAGTCTCTCAGGCTACAGGGGAAGCGGAGGCACTCTTAAGCTTGCCATCCCTAAGACAGAGGTAGGACAGCTCCCTCCTTAGCCTTAGGATAATAGAGAATTTACTCCTAAGTTTAGATGTAATAGGAAAGTTTAAAAATCTCCACAAACTTATGGGAACCCCTCTAAAAATATTTTGGTTCAATCTTAAGTAATTCAGATTGTACTATGAAAAAGTTTTAATTGGGGCTGAAGAGGTGGCTTGGTGGTTAAGAGCACTGGCTGCTCTTGCAGAGGACCTGGGTTCAGTTCCCAGCACCCACAGGCGGCTAACAATCATCTGTAACTTCTCTTCCAGGGGGGATCCAACAGCCTCTTCTGGCCTCTGAGGGCACTATGTGAATGCATGCACAGACAAGCAAGCAAAACACTCATACATATTAAAAAAAAACAGATTTTAAAAAATTTTTAAATGTTTTGCTTCCTCAGATACCTTTGATTTAGATTGTTCTGGTCAAATCTTTTATGGTTTATTCTCAGTTACTCCAAGAAATCTCTCTTTGATTTACTTGGTGCAACTCACTCAAACATTGGTTTGTTATTAGAAACTTATCAGAAGTTGGTAGACATTGTGTAGTGACCTATCAATGAAGTTCTCACAACAAATGATAAATTTATTTGTTAATAAATGTTTCATGGTATTAAGATAATCAGTAAGAGAAAATTGTTAGAAGGATGTAAGAATGGAAATATTTTTAGTAAAGGGAATTTGTATATGAAGATTAAGATGGCTGGATGTTTCCAGAATGGAAAGGAAAGCTAAAAGGCCTTTGGTATGTTATGAAGGTTTAATTAAGCTATTTTAGATGCATAAAGGATGAGACTTAAAGATGATACATAAACTCTTGATATTTCTAGTCGATGTTCAATGGAACTTCTACTTAAATCAACAGAGTTATTGAGCTAATCTCACTATTACAAAGGTTGGCTTAAAAAATACAGTATGTCTGATCAAGGTTTATTTAAGAGCATTTAGTTTTTGCTAAATATTACACATTTAAATGTGCCAGGCTGATGTAACTGATGTTCCAGTGTTCAGTAACCATACCTGGAGCTCACTCTACTGCTGTAGTCCCTCAAACTACCATGATGTTGTTATTGATTTAAAAGATTGCATTTCAGCCTGCGTGGTGGCGCACGCCTTTAATCCCGGCACTCTGGAGCCAGAGGCAGGCAGATCTCTGTGCGTTCAAGGCCAGCCTGGTCTACATAGTGAGTTCCAGGCTGCGTGGGGCTACAGGGAGACCCTGCCTAGAAAAGATTAAAAAAAAAAGATTCCATTTTAATATGATTTTCCATTTCTATTATTGCTTTCAATGATGAGAAATTTGTCTAATTTTTAAAATGGAAAAATTTTCCTCAAAATTTGATCTATAGCCCCATCTTCTGTCAATAATGGGTTAAAAAGGCAATACACCTTCATTAGGAAAAATGTTTTTTTAGATTCTTTTTTTTTTTGAGTGTTTTGCCTGCATGTATATAAGTATACCCATGTTGTACAGAGCCCATAGAGCACACAGAGGTTGTCGGATCCCCTGAAACTGGAGTTAAGGATGGTTGTTAGCTACTGTGTGGGTACTGGGAATCAAATCCATGTCCTCTGAAAGAGCAGCCAGTTCTCTTAGCTGCTGAACCAACTCTACAATCCCTCAGACTTCTTTTTGTTATCAGTATTTACCTCTATTTTAAAGCCTCCTTCATAGATGAACTCATCCTGTTTTTATTTCAAAACATTTGACCTCACACAGAATTGCCTGGCATCCCCACAGAAAGAAATAGTCATGCCCCCTGCCTAGTTATGTTTTTTCAATGATCATAGGTACAAACTCAATAAATTACTCAGTCCTGTCCTCAACAAATTATTGAATCCTGTCCTGACTGCAAATTGTTGGGCCCCATCATCAGGAAAGAAGTCAAACCGGCAGGTGTTCATCCTAAGGAATTCTGGCAAATGAAAGTAACTCACATAAATTCCTTTGGCCATTTAAAATTCACTCATGCATGTGTCGATACTTTTAAGGCTTTATTTTTGTTATTGCTTGAACATATGAATCTGCTCAAGCTATTTGAAAAAATTTATTAACTGCTTTCCCTGTAACAAGATCTCCTCCCAGAAAAAATCAAAACAAACAGTTGTCCTGCTTATATATCAAAAACTTTTATCTCTTTGTCAACTTTGGGAAGTCCATGTCTCTCATGACATTCTCTATATTACCCCAAGTACAAACCACAATTAAACTAACTCATTTATTATTTAAAAAGGTATACATAAACAAAAAAGGAGAAATGAAAGGCTGCTCAGGAACAAATGGTATTTAATTTTTTTTTCTTTTTTGGTCTTTTTGAGACAGGGTCTCCCTGTAGCACCAGCTGGCCTAGAACTCCCTATGTAGAACAGGCTAGGCTTGAACTCATAGAGAGCCTCCTGCCTCTGCCTCACAAGTGCTGGGATTTATGCTTTACATTTTTAAAACTGTTCCTCTCAATTTGACCCCCTAGCATCTACTAAAAAGCATCTTAAAAAGCAGGAAGTTTTACTAAACTTCTTGGTTTTATATAAACTTGTTTAAGGGCCAACTAATGTCTAGATTTGGTTCTCTCATTAATTGGATCTGAGACTCCACACCGTGCTTCTCTCACAGGCCTCCCTGGCTCACAGCGGGGCTGGAAAAGCCATACTAGGTGACAGTCACCTTGCAACAGAGAGACTCTCTCCTGAATTTCAGCTGCATGAACAGCTGTCGTGTTCATGAGCCTTCTTGTCACAGTGCTGCCCTGCCGCCGCCTCCTTTTCCAGAGAATTAATGATGATGCCATGTTGACCTATGCTGCTCTACGTTGCTCCTCAGTACACTGCACCCTATCCAGCCCACTGCTAGTGACCAGCCTGATGGACATGCTTCCTTGATATAACAAACAAGGGAGCCATGACAAACGAGTCTTCATTTATAAAGCAAAGAAGGGGAACTGTAGGAATGACTTTCATAATATGGACATAGTCTAGACTTAACACTTACCTCACCTTGCAACCAAAAAGTTACTGTTTATAATGCAAACAGGCTCACTGAACCATGTGCTTCCCTTGTGATTTGAGTATATGATTTTAATCCCCTCAGAACCCCTCCTTGCCCTCCACCCAAGATAATGAATGAATGTAGGTATGTTATGCATGCTTTACATATCAAAGCACTGAAAGCAGCAAGCTCTTATTACAAACAATGAGAGAAATCTGTTTGTAGCTCTGTGCGTGCATGTGTGCGTGCGTGCATGCGTGTGTGCGTGTGTGTGAGATATTCCAGGCCTAGGGAACAAAGGGCAAGATTATCTCCCTGATAAGATAAAGCTGCCTGAGGCTGACTTCTACTTCCCCATTCCATGCTGGAGATATTGTTTCAATAAAATACGAGCGAAACTTAGTTTGGGAGCGCAGTTCTGAGAGACAGCTGAAGGAGCGGCTGCTGGACAGTTTGGGTCCACTCTTGGCCTGATGAGTGCTAAGAGTTAGGCTGTTTCTTTACTAAGCATCACTGTATTGTATCTTAGAAACACCACAACATGGGAGGCACGCACAAGTGCTGTGATGTGCATGTGAGGGTCAGAGGACAACTTTGTGTTTCTGTTTTCTTCTTCTACCTTTATGTGGGTTCCAAGGATAAAATTCAAGCTGTAGCATCAGACAGCAAGCACCTTTGCCCCCTGAGTCACCTTGCCGGCCCTTTGTGTATGTTTTCTGTTGAGACAAAATCTCATGCAGTCCAGGCTGGCCTCAAATTCACTATGTAGCAGAGGCTGGCCTTAAACTCCTGATTCTTTGCCTCCACCTCCCAAATGCTGAGATTACAGGTGCCTCCTACCACACCCATATTCAGGGATCATTATTAACCTAGCCTCACTTGCATCTCTTCGGGAGGGGAAGGGGTGTCACCAGATTAGCAAAAAGCCATACAAATTTAAGTTTCTGATAGTGTTTAGTATAAGAATGCCCATGCAGTACTGGAGACATAACTGTACTAAGCAATTATTTGGTTTCTCTGAAATTAATGTTTAGTTGGACACCTGTTTTGGCTCCCCCGGCCCCGTTTGTAACTTTGAGACAGTTATGTCCGCCACCCCCACTTCTGCCCTTCCCTGCCCTGCTTTGGTCTTCTGTCAACCTATGAGAAGTGACAGCAGGGAGAGAATATTTTTTTTTTTCTGTTTTCTTGATGGTTTGATTTTCTTTTTTTTTTTTTTTTTTTTGGTTTTTTAAACACAGGGTCTCCCTGTAGTCCTGGCCTGGAACTCACCATGCAGAACAGGCTGGCCTTGAACTCACAGAGATCCACCTGCCTCTTCCTTTTGAGTACTGGGATTAAAGTCGTGTCCCCCCATGCCTGGCCAGAATAAATGATTCTTAAAATTTTTAAGTTACTGTGATTTTTCTGAGATTTCTTCCACCCCAACTCCAGTCTGCGGGCCTTGGTTTCTCCTCCTAGCCCATAGGGAACTCTTAATGTCAGGACTTGTTCAGGCCAGTTGGTTTCATTCATGTGACAGTTGCACCACCTAGTGGCACAATGGAGAACCGTCCTGCAGGCAATCAGCCTGGAAAAACCATCAAAGAAAAACCCACAAAGACAGGAAGGTAGATCATTTAACCAAGAAATCTCAGGGACCACTTATCCTATGTCAGACCAGGATGGCATGGTGACCTTCTGGTATCAGAGACTGTGCCAAGAGGCAGAGAAGCGTGCAGGGTATGTCACCTGCAGGTCCTGAGGCCTCCCCTCTCTATCAACCTCGGTTTGCTCAATGCTTGAATTTTTTTTATTTGTTTTTATTGAATTTTTATGTATTTTATATGGAATATCTCACACAATCTTAATCATCTTTTTACCCCGTCCCCACTGTCACCCTCCCTTAGTCGCTCCCCAGACTGGCACCCATATTCTCTGTCATCCATGTAAGGCTCACTTTGTCAAGTCAGTGTCCCCAGACGTTCTCCCAGTGCAAGTTTATCCTCTGAGGTCTAGTCAGCCTATCTGGAGTCCCTTGTTTTAGGAAGCTTAGTTCTTCCTCACCCAGCAGTAATCAGCTGCCAATTTTTTCAGCTAAGATTGGGGTCTGCTGTCCATTTCCCCAGTTCTATGCTGGGGAGTCTCTCTGCCTGAGTTTGCATGGGACTTGTGTATGCTGACACCATTGCCACAGAATTCTTAAAAGCATCCTTTCCTCTTTCCTCCCTGAACCCTGGATCCTGTGCAGAAACAATGGAGGATCACGCAGTGCAAGAAGTTTTAGAGTATCTGCTTTTGGTTCCTGATTGCTGGGCTACTGGTACACCTTCCCAGAAGCTGTGGGCTACACATAGAAGACAGTCTATCTGCTTTTTAGGTTAACTGGTGCCATGGGCACTTAATGCTCTTTGCACACTTGGCAGCAATTCCTGTCCCTGACACTGTGTTTCCTTTTTATTGGTGAGGATGCTTCAGTGTCACTTACAGTTAAAACAGTTGTCTCATGGTGAGCCCTGCCAAACCAACTGTGCTGAATAGCTTTAGTGTCGACTTGACACACCTGGGTTGAGGGCACCTCAGCTGGGAAACTGCCTCCATTGAACTGGCCCATGCCCACATCTGTGGGGCATCTTCTTGATTGTTGAGTGATGTGGGAGGGCCCAGCCCACTATGGGTGGTGCCACCCCTGGGCACGTGGGCCTGTGTTGTTTAAGAAAGCAGGCTGATGAGCTGGAGAGATGGCTCCATGGTTAAGAACACTCATTGCTCTTGCAGAGGACCCGGGTTCGATTCCCAGCACCCACATGGTGGCTACGAACCATCCTTAACTCCAGTTCCAGGGGAATCTGAAGCCCTCTTCTGACCTCCGTGGCATTGCATGACACAGGTGCACTCACATACATGCAGGAAATGCACTCATACACATAAATGTAATAAAATATTAAAAAAAGGAGGGAAGCAGGCTGAGCAGGGGCCCAGGGAGCAAGCCAGTAAGCAGTGTTCCTCCATGGCCTGTGCTCCAGCTCCTGCCTCCAGGTTCCTGCCCTGAGTTCCTACCTTGGGCTCCCTGATGAACTGTGATCTGGGAGATGTAAGCCAAAAAACCCCTTTCCTCCCCAAGTTAATAGTGGTCAGAGTGTTTTGTCATAGCAATGAAGAAACAAACTAGGACAGCAACCCACCCCAGAAGTGGGAATGGCAGTGCCCACACCAGAATGGCGTGGAGGAGCAAGCCTGCAGTCCCTCCCCACACCAAGAGCTCGAGGCAGGAGGATTAGAAGTTCAAGACCAGTCTCACTTAATGAGTCTGAGGCAGCCTTGTCTCAAAACACCCAAACCCCAAACCAAACCAAAGCAGATGATGAGCCCATCAACAGGAGTAGCAGCAGGTCACAAATAGGGAAACTGCATCCCCGAGAGGGCATCTGACTGAGGGCTAGCAAAGGCCACACTAAGACTCTTACATACATCAGCTTACAGTGTACAGGTGGAGACTGGGATGGAGGGAAAGAGGAGGAAGAACAAGAGGAGGAAGAAGAGAGGAGGAGGAACAGGAAGAGGAACAGGAAGAAGAAAAGCCAGAGGAAGAGGAAGAAAGAAGGACAGGAAGAAGAGAAGGAGGAACAGGAAGAAGCAGCAGAAGACAGGAGAGAGACTAGGAAGAGAAGCAAGAAGAGGACTGCGCTCAAACCCTCCTCCCCTGCCAGGCACCTGCCACAGGTAGACGAAGCAGATGAAGATCCAGAGGAAGAGCATCCACAGCGCATTGAGGTAGAGCAGGCTCTCCACCACCCGCTGCACGTCCACAGACACCAGATTGACCACGTCCCCTGCTGCACTGGTCTTTCTGGAGCCACTCGACAGAGCCAGGACCTGGGCAGATGTAAGCAAGGGAGGTGTGAGGAGGGAGAGATGCAAGGGGACACTGCAGGTAGCCCAGGCTGGCTCCTCACCCCAGCCTGTATATTCTCCCAAGTCAACCTCCCAGGGTGGGCATGAGGATCCAGGGGGAGAAGGAAACAGATTTGAAGTCTCCACAGCACAGGATCAGCCATTGTTAATGAAAATAAAATGCAAGACCTACGGTGATCCTGGGCTTGGTTGCCCTGTGCTAGGGATGTCCCAACCTGTGCTGAGAGAGCCTCCTCCTTCCCCATGCCAAGGGGGACAGTACTGTGCTACTCTCTCCCAGACACTCCCATCACTCCCAATAAATGAGGACTGAGGCACATCTCCCCTTGGGGATTGTTAAAGAGTGAAAAGTGATCCTAGAATCAGTAAGACACAAGTACTAACCCCAATGAAAGCAAGGCCCAGAGAAGTGGAAAAACTTGCCCAGGGTCAGAGGTCTTGTGCCTTGTAGACCTGACTGGAATCCAGGACCCCGTTGGGCATGGCACTGGCTAGACAGGGTGTTGGACTCTCTCCTGCTGTTATTTTGAATCTCTCTGGCACCAACTCTGGTAGCTTTCAACCTGTCTGACCCCAGGGTCACAGTGGAACCAGTCAGCATGTTGAATGCTGGCTCTTCCTGCCTCCTCTGCTGTGGTTGAGTAAGTGTGACCCAGCAAATCTTTGTTTGTTTGTTTGTTTTGATTGTTTTGTTTTGAAATAAGGTCTCCTTGTAACCCCAGCTGGCCTGAAACTATGAAGACCAGGTTGGCCTCGATCTCTAGAGATCCATCTGTCTTTACCTCTGCTGGGATTAAAGGTGTGTGCCACCATGCTGGGATGAACTCAGCAAATCTTTAAAAAGAGCTCACTAGGCTCCACCCATCATGACCCCGCCCACTGAGGCCACACTCCCAAGTAGCTACCCTTGCCTGTCTGCAGAGAACTCCAGTGACAGGCTTGCTGGTGCAGTAAGCTCAAGGTGTTTACAGTTCTTTTAAGTAACAGTGATGCCAAGTGTCAGGAAGGGGCTGTCCTGAGGGTCAGAGTGGGTGGCAGGGCAGTAGATCGCCTCTGGGGATCAAAGGTGGCCTCCCTGTGGTGGGCAGAGGGTAGACATCTTCCTCTTGGGCTCAAGGAAACACCCGAACTCATAGCATCAGAGGCCACCCCGGTGCCCTGCTGCACAGTGTACCATCCCCAGCTGCCTCTAGTAATAGTTAAGTCTCCCTTGACTCCTCAGCTCCCATGAAGTCTCAGGCTTGAGAATGAGATTCACAAAGGATGTAATGTCCTGGCAGGGATGAAGACATTCTACTGAGACACTTGCGTCCTCTTTGGACTATCAGACTACGGAGACAATGGTCCCTGAAACTGGAATTTCCCCAGGAATCTCATGCTGGGAGAAGGAAAGGGCTGGAGCCCGAGGTCAGCCAAAGAGAGAGCTTATCTTTGGAAAACAAGTTTCACATAGTCCTGACAACTTGTAGGACAGATTGGAGCCGAGACATGGTGTGTCAGTGAGGGGTGGAACAACATCTTGCCCAGGACTACCTAGCTATGCATACCGCCACCCTCCATTTAGACCTAAACCTCACGGCAGAATCCTGAAGATGGACTTGGGGTGGGTGTCCCTGGATCTCTGTTCCTCTTCCCAATGTGTCCATAAATCTCTGCTTCAGACTGTTACTTATCTGTTTAATTGGCCTGTGGAGGAGGGTTGTGAGCTTAGCTTGCTTGGGCTCCAGGGTTGGACCCTGATGACTCCATAACACTTTGGTGTCCCTGGCTAAGATGCTTCAAATCCCAGGAGTTAGTGTCTTTGCAGTAGACCAGACGGCCATCACCCAGGGTCCCCCATGGGGACAGAAGCCACTGCACAGAGAAGCCCCAATCTTGGGCCACCCGCTAGTATGTGGGGGGGGGGCACTGTTCAGACGGAGCCTGCATACAGCCCAGAGGCATGGAACCGTGGCTCCAGAGCCATCTATACCTGAGCAGCGTGGCCTTGCTACCCAGCTGACCCCATGACAAGGCCTGAATCCTGTAAGCCAGAGAGCCTCTTACCCTCCTGGGGGACAGTCCTTAGAGAAGGAGGATGAATGGAACGCAACTACCGACCCACCTTCCAGTCATGAAACTGAGGCACAGAATGGAGAAGTTGAACAATTTTGTCAGAGTCAGAAGGCTTGGGAATGGCTAAGCTAGGACTGGAATTCAGGGTCACTAAGGTATGACATGGACCAGACAGAGTGTGGGATCAGCCTGGCAGCAGTAAGTGCAAAGGACCTGGGGTGGGAGGGTACCTGATGTGTTTGAGGAAAAAAGGAAGGATAAGAAGAAAAGATAGTGTTGGAGATTGCAGGATGGATCACACAAAACACTACAGAAATAACCAAGGAGGTGAGAGTGCATGAGATTGTTGAGTGGGGACTGTGTCCTGAGCCATTGTTAGAACAACAAACCTGGGCTCACCTTTCTGTACACCAGGCCGGTGATGGCCGTTCGCAACCTCATCTGTAGGACCTTGATCCTGTACATGTGCTGTTGCTCAAACAGTGTCTGCAGGCAGGCCGACAGGAACATCAGAACGGCCAGCAGCCAGCCTGTCCATGCTGGGAGCTCAGGGTCATCCATGAACTCCAGAAATAGACTGGGGTGCGGAAGGACAGACAAGCCAGTGAGGCAAGGCACTCCTGTGCCACCATGGCCCAGACCAAGTAGGGTGCAGAGTCAGTTGGGGTGGTGACTGACTGTCTGCACAGTCACACTGTTTCCCTGCTGACCACACTCCTTTTCATTGTGACTGTCTCTCTTTTGAGATCTCACAGAGCCCAGGCTGACCTGGAACTCACTATATAGCCGAGGATGACACAGAATACCTAATCCTCCTGCCTTCACTTCTCGGGATTGAACCCAAGACTTGGTGCCTGCCAGACAAGCACCCCACCAGCTGAGTTACATCTGAGGCCCTGGCTTGGTTTTTGATGGAGACAGGATGTCATTATGCAGCCCAGGCTGACCCAAACTTGTGATCCTCCTGCCTCAGCCCCTTGAGTGCTCAGATTAAGGTATGTATCAAACATGATGGCTTTACTTTGTATTTTGAGACAGGGTCTCAATAAGTTGCCCAGGCTGGCCTGGAACTCACTTTGGAGTGCAGGCTGGCCCTCGAACTTGGGATCCTTCAGTCTTAGCCTCCCAAGTAGCTAGGATGACAGGCCTCTGTCACCAGACCTGGTGCCTCACTCCACCTCTTGAGTCTGAGCTAGCCACTGGCTTTGGCCATCTAGACATGGGAGTGTGTGGGAGGAGGACTGTGCTAGCATCAGGCTTTGCCTTGAGAGAAAATGTGGCTTCTTTGTCCTGTCTCCAGGAGCCCTGCCCAGTGGCATGTGGGAAAGCCTACATTAACCTCTTAGAGGATAGAAACCACAGGTAGGAGAGACAGCTGGTCCCTGGGAGACCAGCTCGGACAAACCAGTCTCTGGCCTCCCAGCTGCTGGCCACAGGCACACGAATGAGCTCGCCCGGTGGATTCCACCCCAAACTGCCCATCTACATTCTGACCCCTAAGTAAGTGCCTGTGACTTTAATCCACTCACTGTGGGGAGAATCTCTTAGCAGCTAATGCTAACCGATACAGTCAGGTGACATGTTCAGTCCTTTGCTGGGGGTCAGTCACCTCTCCACCTCCTCCCTCCCTCTACAGCCTCAGCCTCCCACACTCTGGGGTCCTGAGTACTGGATATACATACAGAAGTGGAAAGAGCTCAAGTCCCTGACCCTAGAAAGATGACCTTAAGGTGCCCTGGACTGAGCCAGGACCTACCTGAGGAGTTTGGGGACAGCAAACCTGAAGACATCACTGATGACGAGGCTGAGGGTCCCCAGCAGGAAGGTGGACTGGAATACCCTCCAGATAGCCCTGAGTAGTGGGCCCCGCTGGCTCCCCACTGGCTGCAGGAAAGCCTCAGTCTCAGGGGGATCCACATCGTTGTGTCCTTTGTCTTTAAATACCTTGGCGTGCCTGGTGGAGAAGGGGCATGGTCACAGGGCCTGCATTGTCCTCAAGGGCCACAGCTTATTTATTTAAAGACCTCGTCACTCTGTACTCCTGGCTGGCCTTGAACTCAGGGCACTGATAGGAGCCTGGGTATTGCATGATCCCTGATAGGGGCCCTGGGTACTGCACAGGCACTGCTAGGGGCCCTGCTACCATGATGTCTCCTTCTGGGGTATTTAAGGGTGTCTTCCCTGTCTCCCATTTAGAGTCTCTACTTGGGTGACCCAAAGCACTCTGGGAAGAAGTGCACCTTGAGCCTGCTCAGTGATCAGCTGATGCTTGTTAGAGCAGGAGGCAGTGGGGGGGCCTGTGCTGGGAAGCTGAAGCAGGAAGAGGGACTAGAGGCCAACTGCTGTACATGCTTTGCCAGGCTCCTGCTGACTCTCCAGCTCACCCTCACCCTTAGCTCCAACTGATCCTCACCCTGGGTCTAGCTCACCCTCAACTCACCCTGGGGCCCTGCAGTTCCTCCTCCACGCCCTTTCCAGCTGAGAAACGAGCTCTTCAGAAGTGTTTTCTCTCCCAAGCAACCAGAGGTCTTTTGGTGCCAACAGCTGCCTGTACCCCCTCCAGAGGAGCCTGTAAGAGAGGGGTCACCACAGCAGGCTCTTCCTGCCACCGCCCACCACAGGCTGCTCTGTGACTCCAAGGGAGCCGCCTCTGCTTGGTGCATGTTGGTGTGAGCCTTGGCCCAGTATTCTGGTGGGTTATTGGCCTATTTGACAGATGGAAGAAAGGAGAAGATGGCTCAAGTGAACACACTAAGTGACAGCTGACACACTAGGGAAACAGCCCCCGTTGGGTCTGATGTCCAGGGTTCAAAAGTTGCTTTACAGGGGCCGGGGAGATGGCTCAGCAGTTAAGAGCACTGACTGCTCTTCCAGAAGACCCAGGTTCAGTTCCCAATGCCCACACAGCAGCTAGCAATCATCAATAACTCCAGTTCCAAGGGATCCGATGCCCTCTTCTGACCTTTGTGGGCACTGCATGCACTTACACACATGCAGGTAAAATAACACATAAAATAAAAACAATAAATAAAATAATTTTTTTCAAAAGAAAATTGCTTTATAGATCTTTCGTTTTTTCAGCCACAGGCAGAAGATTTGGTTAAGTGTCTCAGTCTTGCCAAGTGCTCTTCTCAAACAGCAAACTTGGGCAAGCAAGAGGGCTGGTCTACAAATGGTTAATTGCTTGGGGGTCCTGGAGACTCTTTTTGGACCTCTTCTACAAGTCAAGTGATTTGACATTGGTAAAGTCAGGATGATGCTCCATTACCACCTAGAACAGGAAATACTGCTGATCATGTTTGGGAAGCCAGAGGCAAGACCACCCAGGAGAGCTGTTTGGGAAACGTCTATGCTCTGTCTGTAGCCTTCCCATGCAGCCATGGCTCTGTGTTCTCTATATGCTTACAGCCACAAGTGTCCTGTCCTATGCTAAGTGCCCCCCCATTACCTCATTATTCCCACAACCCCCAAGACCAACATCATCTCATCTCATAGATGTAAGGCTGAAGCACAGAGAAGTTAAGTGGCTTCCTCAAGGTCACACAGTCAGGGAGTAGCTACACCAGGATTTAAATGGTTCTCCTGCCATCAGGCTGGGCCCTGGGGGACGGGCACTAGAAAAATAGCTGATTTCTCTTCCAGCCTGGCATCTTCAGGGGCAGCAGATAGAGAACTTTTTTGGTTTGGTTTGGTTTGGTTTTTTTTGGTCTTTTTGAGACAGCGTTTCCCTGTAGGCCCAGCTGTCCTGGAGCTCACTATGTAGACCAGGCTCGCCTTGAACTCACAGAGATCTGCCTGCCTCTGCCTCCCAAGTGCTGGGATTAAAGGCGTGCACCACCACACCAGGCTGAGAACTGGTCTTTTTATCTCATGACTGGTACTTAGCATGCAGTAGGTGCTTCCTAAATACTGGAGGAGTGATGGAAGCTGAGTGATAGATAGATTCAATTTCATTCACCAGCTGTGCGCAAACACTGGGCACATTCTATTTAAAGAAGGTAGAGTTGTCCTCATTTTACAGAGGACAAAACTGAGGCTTTGATGTTGGTAACATCTGGCAGTGCCAGAATTCAAGGTCATACCTTACTCCAGTGAGTAAACTGGAATGGATTGGAGGGGGTACACTGAAGGGAAGCTCCGAGACCAGGTGGGGAAGGCCTGGAGGAAACTTTGTGGATGGGGGACAAGCCTTGCTACAAGCAAGGGAGAGCAGCAATGTGGATCAGGGGCACCACCCCAGCCCTGCACCATACTCACCCCGAAGCCCACCAGAACATGACCCTGGAAGGAAAGGAGGACTCAGCCTCTGGACATAGGTTCTGGAAAAGACAAAAGGCCCAAGGAGAGTGAATGTGACACCACCAGCCTCCCAGCACCCAGGAAGTTAAGGCAGGAGGCCAGAGTTCAAGTCTACCCTGCGCTACCTAGCAAGATCCTGTCTCAAAAAAATAAAAAGGACAGTAAAGGGGCTGGCCTTGGTCACATAGCCCACAAAGGTCAGGAGGACAGGGTGAACTGACTGTGACCTTAATACCAAAAGTGTCAGGAAGTACCATGTTCCTTGCCAGAGAGAGCAGTCAAGGCAAAAAGGGCTAGAGGGCTAACAGAATTCACAAGTCAGACCAAGAGGTGTTCAGAAGAATAGCTATTCTATTACTGAGATCAAGATGTTCTCAAAGCAGCTTGATATGGTGGCTCACTCCTGAAACCCAAGCTCCTAGAGGTAGGAGGATTGCTGTGAGTGTTCAAGGATAGCCTGGGCAACATAGTTCAAGGATAGCCTGGCTACCCTGGGCTTCATTGTGAGAGCCTGTCTCAAAAAACCTTTTTTAAAATCTCAAAATAAGGACTATGTGTTACAGTCTTCATCTGAAATGTCCATCAGAGCATGAGATTATGGGTCCTGGTGACAGAGGGGGGCTGTGGGGGTGCTTTGAGGGCTGTAGCCCATCCCCGCTTCCAGTCTCCTCTCTGCTTTCTACTCTAGTGTGAGGATTTACGCTATACATTCCTGATACCCCAACTGAGCTGCTTTCACTGCCATGATGGACAGAAACCCTCTATAACCGTGAGCCAAAATAAACCCTTCCTCCCTTTAGCTGATCTGTCAGGTGGTAAATAATGCATCATGTGTATGAGAGACAACACTGACCCTCAGCAAATGTGAGAGGGACAAACGGCCTGTGACTAGGCAACCTCCCTGCCTTCCCAGTGCTGAGATTACAGGTAGTGCCACCACATCCTGCTAAGTGAACAACAGCAAAACAAAGCTTGTGTTCTAGCCTGAGTCACAAGGGGATGCTGACAGGAGAAGGGCAGAGATAAAGTGGGCTTTGAGTGCAGGACATGGTGACAGGCTTACCAGTGGCTGGGAGTCTTCAGAGAAGAAGGGGGGCCGATCTACCAGGCAGGACAGTGCCAACTCTGCCAACACCAGGGACAAACACAAGTAGGTGGCCACGTGCTGGAGGGGCTCGTGTTGGAAGCTCTGCAGGGGATGGAAAGGCCCCACTGAGCCCGTGTGGCACTCAGACAGTGTAGAGAACTCCAGAGGCTGAGCTGAGGCCCGAGGGGGGAGAAGGGGTAAGATGATGATGACAATGAGGATGATGAGGACAACAACAACTGGAGCTGTCTCCAGAGAGAAGCCTGACCTTTCTGATCATTCTGATTTACAAAAATGACTTCTATATGCCAGCCGTGTGTGAGTCCTGAATCAGAGAAGATTGGTCACCGCCATGGGACACTGGGCTCTTTCTCCTTCCCAAGCACCCACCTTCCATTCTGGCTACAGACCTCTGATTGACGTAGAAGGGAGCTGCTTATATTGAGCATCTGCTCTGCCCTGAGCACATGCTCATCCTCTCCACACTCTCTCCACACCCTCTGGCCTGACACAGCTGGTTTATGCTGTTGTTGTTATTTATGTATATGTGTGCAGACCTGCAAGAGTTTACAGGCACTACATGTGCACAGAAGCACATGGAGGCCAGAAGAGGGCTTGAGATCTCCTGGAACTGGAGTTACAGGTCGTTGTCAGCTGCTATGTGGGTGCTGGGAACTGAACCTGGACAAGCCTGTGAGCTCCATTTACATATCACACGGGCAAAGAAAAGCACATGCACGTGCCCACATACATACATATACACACATCACACACACACACATTACATACATACAGATCTACACATTGGTCAGCCAGTGCTCTTAACCTCTGAGTCATCTCTCCAGCCCCTGGTTTTTGTTTTTGAAATTGGAACTCACACTGTAGGTTTGGCTGGCCTTGAACTCATGACCCTCTTGTGTGCTGGAATTTCAGGTATGTATACCATATCCAGCTAGAGTTCCAGGGTTGCTGTGTATGTTGCAGATAGTAGTGAGCTGTAGCCCGACTCCACCATGGCCACCTCCCCCATACTGCCATTTAACACTGGAGAGAGAGGAGGGAGTAGGGAAAGGGGAGGGAGGGAGGGGTAGTGG